TAAGCGAGGATTTATAACGGAAGCTTAGCCCGTACGCCGGCTCATGAATAAATTAACAACAAGAGCGTAGAAATCCCCTTATGTAGCATATGCACAAACAGACATATTTACAAAATATATGCATATATGTGTCCATGTAACGGTTTTCTGCTTGTAGAACAACAAACACGCCCCCTAGCTGTATCAGATATACTTCCCATGTTAGACCGTGAGAGACTGAAACGATTAAAATCGATCTCAAGACTCATAAATTATGCAATTTCACAAACAAAGTGCTCAGTAGATCGTAAAAGAGCTAGAAATAAAATGGGGTAGAGTCAGATCTATAGAGAAAGGGTTACTTAAGTAATATAAAAAACATACTGCTGCTGAAGCTCTACTTTATCTGGTATATATGTATTTAGATTTCATATAACATCTTTAAAGAAAGCCAGTTCTTCCAAGGAGGAAAACTTTCTAAATGCGTTGCCTACTTTTTGACGATACCTTCTTTCAAGGTTACTGGTTCCAAATTCTTCTATTCAACCCCAAAAAAGCAAACCCTTTAAATGTTTTCCTAAAAATAATAAATATTTCGTAAAATCAATAGTTTTTCTTAAAATAAAAAAAAAAAGTTAATTTTATTATCACATAACATCTAAAAAGAAAGCCTGTTTTGCAAAGAAAGGAAGCCTTTTACTAATTTGTTAGAAGAGCATATAAGCCTACAATATCTTCTTTCAAAATTGTGGCTCTCAATCCTTATTTTAAGCCCAAAAAATAACTTTATATTTATTTCATTCCCCAAAATGAACAAAAAATATTCTTTTGTTTTGTGAATTCTTGTATTTTTCCTAAAATATAAATATAATAAAAGAATGCCGACAGAAAAGACCAAATAACTCTGAAAAATAACTCTTTAAAGCGCCAAAGAAAATACATCTCTAGGAATTCCACCTACAGTAGCTTGGGGTTATATAAATAAATAAAACTTGGATTGCAGGAGGCTGCATCTGCGTGTGGTCAGTCTGTGCTTCAGTTTGTGTTTCTGTTTCAGTTTCAGTATTTTTTGTTGCACCAGCCCACGCCCACGCCCATGTCAGTGGGCACCCACAAGCGTAGTTGGACATTTGGACAGTTGGGGGGGCGGTTGAAGTTTTAACTTCGATTTTCAATATTCATGACAGGAGTGGGGGCGGGCGGCGGCAACGGAGAGCGATGGGAAGGGAGCCATGTTTCGAATGGACGTCGAAAATTATGGCAATTACTGCAGAGAACTGTAAATTATTTGCTCTGGCGACCTCATTGTCAACACACACACACACACTCAGTCCCTGGCAATTGGCATCGGCGTTTGTGTAAACATTCCCACATGCACTTTGCATTGCCTGTTTAATAATTCGATGTTTTTAATGGCAACTGAGCGGCAGTAGGCAGCGTTAAATTATCGCCAAATTGGTCGGCAAGATTTGGGTTCAAGTACTCAACTGAATTAGTAGTATTTCTGTTTTAATTACCAATCATTTTGACCAGAATCCCCTTAAGCTTTCGAGTTCTTTATCTTGGCATGCCGAGAGTACAATTATGCGGCTTGGCTTATCGGCGTGAGCCCAGTCAGACCTCATAATTATGCCCTCTTACAAATCGCTCTTAAAAGACCCCGCCGACTGGAGATTCAATGGAGAACTTCAGCAGATAGCAGTGGGCAGGGAGCTGGGAGTGGGAGCAGGGGAAAATCGGTAGTAAGCGCCTTATGCGGCTTATTTGTAGGTCGTTTAATACGGAATCCCCTCTGCCGAGAGTGCCACTTGCTTTATTTTATTTACTTTTTATACGCATTTGTGCAATATTTATTTTTATGCCAACTGCAATGGCCAGTGATAAGCGCTGGACAGCGGATGAGAAGCCGAGAATCCGAGAATCCGGTGGAGCGGCGGCCGGCCAGGGCAGGGGAATCCGGCAGGGGCCGGTGGAGACGAGCAGCGACAGCGGAAATTTATGGTCGTCGCATAAAACGCATAATCAGTAAACGAATGTGCCACAAAGGCGGAAAAAAGACCAAGAACCGTGGCTGGGGGGCCCGGAGCCCGGAATCCGGGGTTAGGGGTTGGAGTTGTGGGGGACTTGCGGGGGCCTTAACCGAATGACCGACGGATAGGGAATTGCTGTAGCTTTTTGCCATAGTAGCACAATTCCCCATTTGGAGCTATCAGTCGACTATTCGACGGGAAGAGCGCCAATGGAAATGCAAATTCAAGCAAAACTTGTGCGTAACTTATGGCTCCTGTATAGAGACACTTAAAGAAATTGGTCAGCTTTTTAGGAAATTAAAATATTAAAGGGAGAGAGAAAGGTAGAAGACTTGTCTTAGATGGATGGATCAAGTCTTATATATCCTGTTCTTTTTTATCAGTAAGAATACTTAAAGATTAAAGGGAAGTATAGTATGGTATCTTATAGTTTATCATTTCTTAGATACCCCAGTCTTTTCTCTCAGTAGTTGTTATGCACACATTAGCTTGATGAGTCAGTTGCTAAATTGGTCCGTTTCTAAAAGTGCAACGCTTGCACTTTGCACCTTGCCGCCTTCGGCACTTTTTCACTGTCAATTGATTGGATTGGGGATGGGGGACTTCAGCACGAAAGTGGCAAGAACGAAGCAGCAACAGCAACAGCTTTAATTAAAGCCCTGTAATGCCATTAGCTGGCCTTTTGACTTGCCAACTACCGACCAGCCAGCTAATTAGGTTTGCATCTCCATCTAATGCAAGACCGGGAGTCTGGTCGATCTGGTCGAGATGGCTGATTCACTTGCACGCGATGTTTCACTTAATTACCAGCTGCCAATAGCCAGCTTGATAACAGTTAAATTGATTTTGATTGCTTTATTTGATGCCTATAAATCAAAAGACGAAAGACGAATGGAATGGAAATTCTATGGGGCAGCAGCAGCACGTGGGCAGCAGAATCCCCGGGCTGGAAAACCGATACGCAGCGATATGGACACCGATATGGCGGGTCCATAAGTACTCCTCTATATATTTGTATTTTTATATCTACTGGATGTATGGATATAACCAGTGCTCTGCCCACTTGTCCGGTGTCAACGTCAAACACGAAACGAAACATTTTGTGCGATTAGCTTGTAAGATTGTTTGCAGCTCTTTTTTGTTTTTTGTGGCCATTTATTCAACTGAAGTCTGCAACTCGATAGTTAGACTTGGCCCAAACTGGATCCAGCAGCTGGCTGGACAACGACGGTGCACCGGGGCCAACGTGAGGGGCAGAAGTTAGCTCTCGGCTTAGATGTGAACGCAGACAAGCTGGCAAGCCAAAAAGCACACATTTTTTTCTTGATTTTGGCCCACTCGAATGCCTCTGAGTGGCAATTTTATCGAATTATTTGCACTTAGCTGCAAATTCAATTGGAAACAAGAAAGGAAAGCTAACTTCGGGCGGAGCCGAAGTTTATATACCCTTGCAGTTAAAACCGGATATATATCGCAAACATCGGATATAGTTGGCCGATCCTTATGGGAATAGGAATATATACTCCAATTTATTACAATACAAAATCTAAAAAAAGTCCCAAGCTTCTATCTTCAAAAATACGAAAGTTGATATTTCTATTAAATACCATTTCCGATCGTTCAGTTATATGGCAGCTATAGGATATAGTCGGCCGATCCTAATGAAATTTGGTAGGTTGGATCAACTGACCAAAAATAGAGTCTGTACTAAATTCCAGCTTTCTATCTTCAAAAACACGAAAGTTGGGTCATTTCCGATCGTTCAGTTATATGACAGCTATAGGATATAGTCGGCCGATCCTTATGAAATTTGGCATGTCGTATTATTTTGCCAAAAATAGCTCTCACCTAAAATTTAAACTCTCTAACTCTAAAAATACCAAAGTTATACCATTTCCGATCAATCAGTTATATGGCAGCTATAGGATATAGTCGGCCGATCCGGGCCGTTCCGACTTATATACTGCGTGCAAAGGAAAGAAGGGTGTGTGCAAAGTTTCAAGACGATAGCTTTAAAACTGAGAGACTAGTTTGCGTAGAAACAGACAGACGGACAGACAGACAGACGGACAGACGGACAGACGGACAGACGGACATGCTCATATCAACTCAGGAGGTGATCCTGATCAAGAATATATATACTTTATAGGGTCGGAGATGTCTCCTTCACTGCGTTGCACACTTTTGGACAAAATTATAATACCCTCTGCAAGGGTATAATAACGAGCGACTTTTCGTTGTTAGCAATGGGATGCGGACGGGCTCGAGGATATGTCTACAAACATTGCCCGAACCCTGGTGGCGCCCCCCACAGCAGGTGATCCCATGCACTCTTATAAGCCATGGCTAGTGCTCGCAAAAAAAATAAAACTTAAACACAATTGATATCTTTGTGGCAGTCTATTTGGGTCGTGTCAAAAACAGCCGCAAGGTGGTAACCCCCATCAATTGAAGTTAACTTGCATACAGTAAACATTGGTTAAGTGGCCTACAGGTTGAGAAATAGTTTATATCTCTAAAGGATTTAATAGTTCTGTTTATAATATGTACGAAAATAAACTCCTCATAAAACCAAGCCTTGATATTTTGGCCAACACCTATCTATAACCATTAGTCTTGGGTTTTTCTTTTTGTGTATCACAACTATCTATTAAAATCGCTTTATAGACAGCCTCTTTTTAAAGTCTGCCTTGGCATATACTTACTATACTAGCCGACATATATTTTAGGCATTGTGTAATTATTTCGGTCAGTTGGTATTTATTTTTGTTGTAAGCCAGCCGATAAGCCAGGAGATTGGAGCAATGGGAAATATTTTGACACTTCTTTATGGGGCAATCGAGAAATATGCCAGGCAGCCATGCTCTCGGCGATATGGAAACCACTTAGTAATCCACATGCAACCACTGCCCACTTCCAGTGGTTGGCCAACTTTTATGTGTAATTCGAGAACCAGAGCCGTTAACAAACGTACTATTTATCTTCTTGCAGGCAAAACGAGAAGGATTGCGATGAAGACGACAAGGACGATGTGCTCAGCATTATGCCGCCGCCTCCAAACTACATACAGATATCCCAGGGCAGGATTCAGTTAGTCCACCAGCCGAGGACTCCCGTGGAATCCGAAGCGGGCACCTTGTCCCTGGAGCGTCCTAGCGGGGGCAGCACCTCCGGATCCGCTGGTTGTGATAAGGTGAGTTCTTGGCCAGTAGTCGGTTTGGTATTGGTAATATCCTCGCTTTTGGCTAAAAAAATAAAAAATATAAAAGCACGTAGCGCTTTGGGATAAATATCTTGTAGACCCATCCAATTATAGACAATCAGCTCGAATCAAATCATAGCCCCTGTATATATATTGCCATAACCCCCTCATCACTGCCAACTAACTTTCGGCTCTTTGGTGTTTTTGAGTTGTTAACCCAATTTTCTCCAGGGGGGGATGGTGGGGGTCTGGTAGGGAAAGCAAAAAGAGCAGCCAGCACCGCTTTCCTTTGTGTTTTTTTTTTCCAGTTTTCAGTTTTTGTTTGGCGTGTGGAGAATTTTCCCAAGTGCGGCATGCAAACTGTCGGTGAAACAAACACCTTTGAACTCGGAGGAGGTTGAACGAACACTTGAACTCGTTAACGTGCCATTCGAGACATCACATCACAGCGGCGTTCCAAAGATTGATGAAGTCACCCCCTTCTATCCCTTATGCCAAATGCCCTCTTGACATGCAAGTTTGGGGTCACGCCAAGACTCTGAAATTATTTCCCTCGGATTTCAACCTAATTGATCGCGTATAAATGTTGACAATTACCTGAATCCGAGTCCAGTAATTCCCAGGCACAGATCCTCTCTACAGGTATATGCTGGGTAGTACTTGTGGTTCAGGGAATTCTCGCTGATCGCGGCTCGCTGCCGTTTGCCACTCACGTTCCGACTTCCGTGACGTTTTAATAGCACTAAGTATGGCGCATGCGCAGCCTCGGCAGCCTCGCCAGCTAGCACAGCAATCGCAGTTGATTTATGGTAGTTACAGGCCACCAGCCGATGGATGGATGCTCCATAAGCGACTGCAAATGAGCCGGGGCCAGCTGGCGGAGATTGCAGCACCGAGATGCCATGTAAATGGCAGTTGACGCGGTAATGCTTCCCAGAATCCGTTTGCTAAAGTCACGGCTCCGGCTAATTGAAACCACGAAAGAACGCGGCGGTTCAGTTGCGTGTATCGATTACCCAGGGTTATCCCACAGCTGGACACCATCGCTGCTTGGTCCCGGCTCCGGACCCAGCCACCCACACACCCACTACGCCGAGAATTTGCCAAATGGCATCTCGATGGCTGCACTGCATCCAGGGCCTGTCATCAGAACCCAGTCACGTTCTCTTATTTGTTTTTTTTTTTACTTTTCTGTGCCCCTCCATAAGTTGCGCCGCCGTGGCAGTTGCAACTGTGCAGTTTTCGCACTGGCGACGACTGATTGAGGAAAGTTCAACGAACCGACTGCTATTTATTTGCTGTGTTTGTTCAGACTTCTCCAGCCCCGGACTCATCGACTCACCGACTCACCGACTTCTCCCCGTTCACCCGATCTCTCCATGGGGCTTAGCTTCTGGCTCTGATTCTCCGCTTCTCTGAGTCTGTAGCACATGCGCGCCGCTTCGCCACACCAGCTGGAGGAGAATAGAGAATTCTATGGGTTGGCATTGTTGTCGCCGTCTCCATTTCATTGCCTGCATTAGCATATGGATATATGTATACCCATTTTAGCTATATTTGTTTACACAGGGAAGGATTTCCTACCAATAAACTATCTAAAAATTGAAAATGATTTTTAGTGAGGATATGGGTAGTATTTCAGCTAAATATTGATCCTCAAACATCATATTTTAGTTGTCCCCTTCATGACAATTATTTTTCCCAGTGCCTGTCTGGCTCTGCCACCTCGAGACTGGATAATTTCCTGCCACAAATCATGGCATTCAGTCTCATTCACGTAGTTGGCCAACTCTGGATTTTTTTTTGGCCATTCATAATCAAGCTTGGGGATCATAATCTTTATAAATTCTCTCTCGTTTCGTAAAGAACAACAAAAATCAATTTGTCTATTGCGCAAACCGGCCAAAAACAAAGCACAAAACATAAAAAAAAAAACTTTAAAGACAACCCATTTTCTTGAAGCTATAAAAAATATTTTACAACTTCCACAACTAATATTAAGTGTTTAACAAAAACAGAAAACAACAAAATACAGAAAAGCAAAATAGTGTTTTACGAGCGACGGCGACACCCAGGCTTTAGTCTTTTTTGTCTCTTCAGGCCATCTTTTGTATTTGTTGGCCATTTTTAGGCAGAGGAAACTTTGAAATTGCAATTTCCATTTCCTGTATAGGCCCTCGTACCACTCGCCCGCCCCCTAATGACTTAATATTTGATATTATTTAAGCCTGTTACTCGTTTTGCTTGTATAGTAGTACCAAGTACCAGGTCCATAGATCATATCTGACTAGTCTTTAACTGAATGCACTGAAATTAAACCAGAGCAAATGGGTCTTAAATATTAAATGCTTGAATCATTTAACATTTAGGAAATATTAAATGTATAGTCATTTAATCTGTATGACTATGACTTTTTAATTTCTTGCTGTGTTTTCATGCCACAGTTCTTTGTGGCACGTCAGCCTTGCTCTCGGTGAATTATTGGCCATGCACACCTGCAACAACTTACCTGTTACCAGTGTCTGGCTCCCCCCAGTCCTCTCTTCTCACTCTCTGCAACTGCCCCAGACCTTTTCCATATCGCGTGCGGATTAAACCGAAACTTATTGTGTTTTTTTGTTTGTAGTTTGTTTGCTGCACTCATTGCTATGTTGCATTCACTTGGAAAATCGGAATTGTGCCCAAAAGAGTTCAATGATTTGCTTTTTACACCTCGAATCGGTTTTCGAGTCAGTGACAAGATCGTAAATTAATTTCAATTGAATTGTGTTTTCTTTTAACGGCCTCCATTATTTTTTTTATTTCCCACTAAGAGTATTTTGGACCCCGTACTGCCAGTTTGGGGTTTAAAAAGTAGCTAGTTATTGGTAAAATTTTAAGGCTTAAACGGTTAATATAATCTGCTTTTATTAAAACTTTAGCTAGTAGTAAATATTAAAAAATTGTAAAAACTATCTGATGGGCATCTATAACTTGGCTTGAACACATATACCCAACACATCCTCAAATACACTCACAAAAACACATTCATTGGTTCACTGGCCCCATAAACACAAAAACATACATATGCACATTTTCAGATTTTTCATTTAACTTTTCGTTTTTGGGCATTTTTTAGAGTTTCTTGAGCTGCTTCCTGAGTTTTTGGTTTTTTCTGTTTTTTTGTTGTTTTGCAGGATGTGTTGGAGAAGCGGATGATTGAAGTTGAAGGCGCTCTGCTGCGTTTGCAGGAGGAGTTCCATAAAGTGAGTACTCTCGCCCGGAAATAGAGATACATTTCTATCTAGAAGATGCATGGTCACTTACCATCACAGTTGAGATGTTATGACCCCGGCCGGACATTGCTCTCTAAATGAAGTTTGAATTTAATGTCGCCTGGGTTGGAGTTTGGGTTGGGATTGGGGTTTTGGGTTTGGGAGCCGTTCCCCCAAAACCATTTTAATTTCCTGTGCGGTCAGCGTGTGAGAGATTTTTGTTCAGGGTTGGTGGACTGGTCCGGACTCCCGAGGAGTACCACCAAGTACATAGATGGGGGGGTCATTAATCGTGTTCAGTCGTTTGCGCTCAGTGCGGTTTATGTGGTTGGGCCGGGCCAACAAAGCCTGGCCAGGCCAACAAGGTCGCCTGGGTGGGCAATTAAAAGTTACAAGCTTAAATTACATGCATATGAGAATGTACCACCAACATCAAATTAACCGTCAGTAGTCGAAGCAAAACGTCCTCAGTCCCCAATGAGGTCAGGAGTCTACTTTAATAAAGACACTTCTTGATTCTGTAATTCTGGGCTAGATGAAGAATTTCTCTAGAATTTAAATAGCGCATAAATAGTAAAGTAAATGAAAAGGTTATAATTCAAATACTTTTAGATAATTTATTTGGGAAAGAGGAAAAGCTCTTCTTCATATACAGTTTCTCAGCAACAACTTTCGGCACAAGTATACCATTTCCAGGGTTTATTACCTACGGCGCACTCGATCAAAATCCTCAATGGCAAATCTCAATCTAAACTGTCGTCGCAACGGCCGTAGGATGCCCCTCGACGGGTCGTAAGAAAGTTTAATGGCCGGAACTTGCCGGCGGAAGGAGCTGGCTTGGCATACGCATTTCCGGCTTTAGGTAATTGAATTTGATAACAAAAAAAAATGAAAAAATGTGGAACGAACCAGAGCCCCGAAAACGAGTTAACTGCTCAGAGTTTATGGTGTGAAAAGGAGCAGCGTGTGGCTCCAGCTTCAGTGGCCGACAGACCCACACCCACCTCCTAACTCACATCCACCTCCAGCTATAGTTACACCCACTCCCATTTTTGGCCAATGATTTCCGCAGCCAAATGGCCACCCGCTGCCTGCTTCTCTGCTTTCGCACAGGAAGCGGCGGAGACAAAACGCGTCGAGAGGAAAAGTGCTTTTGGCCCTGTTCTCCTGCTTATTCTTTTTTCCTTCTTTTCGGTTATGCTCTTTTCTGGTTTTGGCTCGTTCTGGCCATTGCCTGATTTTCTATGCTTTTGGCAGGCGGCCCAGCTTGCCAGCTAAATTTACGAGTATGGCAATGGCAGTGGCTCTCCCCCACCGGCCAGACCCACTGTCTTATCATCTGGCGCGGCACATGCATGGGAATCCGATTACTGCACTTGGAAAATTATTATAAAACTTTAGGAAAAAAGATGATTTAAGACTTTTGAGAAGTTATAAGTACAGTAAAGAAAATAAAGCACTTAAAAAGGGGTTTTACTATAAAGAGTTTATCATTCAGATCTATTTATTAGAAAGGTATAGACGCAACTCTTAAAAACATTTAGTTTTTTCTAATATTACTTAATAATATAATATTTTTTTTCACAGTATATGTTTTTCTTGTTTTTTCCACTACGTGGAGTAGAAAGGAGTATGGAAAAGGCAGTGTAGTTGGGGAGTTGTGGGGCTGGGGAGCTGGATAGCCGGAATACATGAGCTACCGTTGCTTGGCTGTCCCTGTCCCAGCTTCCAGCTCCTTTGGCAATATTTCTGCACTTTATCTGTCTGTAAATAACGATTAACTATGCTGCTCCCTCAGCTGCTTTCGCAGCTACCGCCACTGTCCTTCGGTTTCACTTAGTCGAAGGATCTCCACCCACTTTCCGAGTGTGTGTGTGTGTGTGTTTGGGTGTACTTTATTGTTATTGGCATATCAGTGGCTCAAGGCGGCAAAGAGGCAAGTTGGGCCATGGGGGGGAGTGGCAATCCATTGACAAGTCGGGCCACCAAAAGTGTGAATGTTGCAGAATTGTTTTCGGCACCCGGGGACGACAGCTAGAGGAGCAGGAAGAAAAACAGGATGGCAGACTTAGACAGCTTGTTGGCCATGTGGCATGCAATAAATGGCACGATTCAATGAATATCCATCTTCTGATTCGCCATGCTCTCCCCATCATCATCATCATCATCATCATCGTGGCAATCATCATTCTCGTTTCCAATCCCCAAACCCATTTTCATCTGGTTCTAATTTGGCCAAAAAAACAAGGACAGGGAGGGGGAGTTTACTTTAGTGAATTATTTGCCGAAAAGCAAATGTAATTGATTTGCCAAGAAGCGGGGAACTGAGGGATTATTGTCGTTTAATTGATAAGGCAGAGGACTTTGAAAAGGGGTTTAATCCTTCTTTAGGTTGCCAGGCAACAACTCTTCTGTGCCTGTGCGGTCCTCCATCTTCATCCAGCTCGAATTGCTGGCAGTTTCCATTTTTTTTTTCTCGTTAGGGCTTGTTTTTTCTGCTACAACAGCTGAGCCATGTCCATAAAGTAAAGTATCCCAACTGTGGCACGACATTTAATCCTTTGTCCCCTCAAATATTTGCCTTTGGACGAGGCGAAGCGAAATGCAAACGGAAGTTTTGTTTATTTGTTTGCCTTTAATCAGGCGACAGATCAACAAGCCCAATCCGTACCGATTGGCATGTGCTAATGAAAAGTTGATTTAAAGGCGAGGGCAGGAGGAGGGCAGGAGCATCTGCAACATCAGCAACGCCGAGGCAGCAACAACAATGCACAACTTTCGCCAGCAGCACGTGCTCAGTTTTTAATTCCAAAGCCTCTTCAGTTAACCACCATCCTCCGGCTGCTCCTCCGCCTTTAATAAGCTGAAAAGAATCAGAGACCAGGATGGGTAAGGGAATATTTAACACAGCCAAGCTTCACTAAGAAGCCAAGGCTACAATAGGAGAAAGTTTATTCCAGACCCTCGAAGCAATCCCCACTGTAACAGCCCAGAGTCGAGAGGCAACAGAAAAAAGGCTCTCTCACTGTCAACTGTCAAGCAGGGGGCGTGGTCTTCTTGGACGATGTCTCTCGAGTGGCACTTGGTCGCTTACAAGCATTTTCCAAGTGGAGGATGGGCCCTGGAACACACCAAGGAGGAGCACCAGCACCACGACCCAGCCCTGAGTTCGCAGTATGGGCACTTTTTATTATCCACATCAGTCGAGTGGCCCTGCTCCTGCTCCTTGGATCTCTCGCCATCATCATCATTGGACGCTGCTTCTTCGCCTTTTGAATTGCTAATAATTTTGTCGCAAGCGTTTGATGGTTTACTCACTCGGAAACGGAGTTGCACCACCTAGAGCCACCAACCACCCATCCATCTACCACCCACCCGTGGAGCTGGGCGCCCGGAACTAGAGCTATGTATTTGTATTATGAATATATAAATGGGATATATAGCCATAAATTTTAGGGTAGGTCAGAGAAACACTCTGGAGTGTAATATTGTTGCATATACTTATGGGCTGCCCATTAATGTTAGGTTAAGAAAGCCACCCTTCATCGTACTACCCTCTGGTCTGACCCGCAAGACCCTCGATGAGTTTTTTAGACCTAAACCCAACTTGATGATTCATACGCCCCCTCAAACCAGTCGAATAATTCGGAACTACCACCACTATATATGCTATGTCGGGGTTATATGCTATATGGAATGGAAGGGTTCTTTTTCTGAGCCAAGTCCCCTTGACAAAAAAAGTGCAATGCAATTAATTTTTCGCGAAATTTAGGAAGAGGAAGGGGCATTTGCTTTAGAGCTCTATCTTAACAAGGACACTAAGAGAAATTAGTTGGGGATATGGTATATATTTTAGAACTTTTTAATTAAGGCTATGATATTTTCTTATTTTAGTTTTGTTTCCTAGATTTTAACCCTAAATTGAATTAATTTATATGAAAAAGAACCTGCCCTTAAAGATGAGTAATATGATATATCAAATAATTTCTCCTGTCGTTTTGAAGTGACGTTCCCATGTTTGCATTTGACGCGACGGATGAAAAGTCCAAAATGTGAATGGATCACCATAGTGGTTGCGATGTTTATATATCTATATATGGGGTTGTTCTTCTGACTCGCATCTGCAAAATGTTTGTTTTATTGTAGGGTTGTTGATAATATATCAAAATATCAATATATCGATATTTTTTGGGAAAAATAATATATTTATATCGTAATATTTTTTTCCCCAAATATCGAGTGTGCGATAGTTTTTTTTGATATTATCTGATATTTCTGCGTTGGTCACTCTTTGATCAAATTGCCATATAACTGATTGATCGGAAATGACATAACTTTGGTGTTTTTAGAGTTAGAGAGTTCAAATTTGACACGAGAGCTATCTTTGGCAAACTATTACGACGTGCCAAATTTCATAAGGATCGGCCGACTATATCCTATAGCTGCCATATAACTGAACGATCGGAAATGACCCAACTTTCGTGTTTTTGAAGATAGAAGTTTGGGACATTTTTAGGTTTGGTTTTTGTATTATAATAAATTGGGTTATATTCCCAATTATCCCATCATATTCTCATAAGGATCGGCCAACTATATCCGATGTTTGCGATATATATCCGGTTTTAACTGCAAGGGTATATCAACTTCGGCTCCGCCCGAAGTTAGCTTCTCTTTCTTGTTTTCTTTATAATTTTCAAATGTTATGTTTATGAATTTAAAAAACTAAAGATGAGAAAAACTAAACAGCAATAATAATTTCTGTGTTTTATTTCTATTATTTTATATTCTAAAAAACTTTTTGGGAAACAAAAAAAAATATCAAAAACATCGATATATCGATTTTTTGTAGCGATATATATTTATATCATTTTGATATTTTTTTAAAACAGAAAATATTATCGATACGATAATTTTAAAAAATTCGACATCCCTATTTTATTGTTTACCCATCTTCCTCCTGCACCGCCACTCCCCGTCTCCCTAAACTCCCCCCGTCGGGGTTCATTAAATTAAAAACGGCCAATTCGTAGTCCAATTCGGAGTAATACATCAAAAAACATCAGAATTTCGGTGGTGTGGGTGGGTAGAAGAGAATTCCAAGGAGGGGGAGGCCCGAGACCAGAGAAAGCCAAGATGAGAGAGTGCCGGCTGTTGCAGCTGATCGAAGGACGAGTGGCGAGGTGGTGGGAGGCCTCAAGCAGCTGTTTTGATGAAAGCACGGCAAATTCTCGACACTCTCTCTCACTGTAAGCTACATCCAATTCGCCGTGCATCCTGCGAGGGTTGTTTTTCCTGTTCCTTTCGCCTTTTCATCCTTTTCGTCATTGTCCTTTCGGGTTTCGTTCAAAACACAAATGGTCGCGACTTTTTTTAAGGAGTTTCTTGTTTTTTTTTTAGCTTGTGCTTGAACTTATATCCTTTCTTCTAATTTGTGTTGGCTTTTTGCCGAAAATTTATTCCGCTTTGGCGACAGGACCTCAGTGCTTCCTCCTCTTGCCTCCTCGTGTGTCCTTTTGTTTGGTGTCTGCTGTTCCGGAGCCCGGACACTCTACGGGTTGTTATTTTTACGGTTGTGCGGTCTCGAAAGTTCCCCAAAGTTTGCACAACAACACAGAGGAATCAACAGAGTAATCCCATTCGGAATGGCATAAAAAGTATCAAGTTATAAGTACGGAACATAAAGATGGTAAGAATCAATTCCGGATTAATGTGGAATCTCTTTTGTGTTTAATTTTCAAATGGATGTTGGCCCGCCCGTCGCTCCATCTTCATGTTAATTAATAATAAGCGTGTTCAAATTTTTACCCCGAACGGTGGTTAAATCCACGGCAGATTTTAGAGCGATCGTTAGGCCAGGAATGCTATACGTTCCTTGATAAACTCCCCCGACAGAACAATGGATTATTTTTTATGGGATAGGACATGCCATGGAAATGAAGCTGCAGAGAAAGAAATTCAAATATTAATTTCAATTAATTTTGAAAGCATTTTTAATGAAAAATGGCATTTTTCTCTGTGCACCTTTAAGCCATAGCTTGAAGGGTGGCCTGAACATCTTACGGAAGTGCGTTTGCGGGTGCAAATGGCCGTATGATGTGCCACCCTTCGCATTTCACCCGACACAGCTCCCACTCCCACTCACCCACCCACTCGATGCTTTTTATCCCCAGGACACGGGTGCAACATGTTGCCGGGATTTGTTTTGTTAATTTCTATTTTGTCAGAATGAGAAATATTTTTTGGGTTGAACCCCTAAATCATTTTTTGGGCCACCCACCCACCACCACTCGGCATGTTGCAAGCCGCATGCTAATTGAAACCTGTACGGACGGAGTTTCGATTTTGAACTTTCTGGGCGGCGGCAGTCAAAGTTTGTGTCGGTTTTTGGGGGCTACATCGATTAATTAATAAAGAATTCATGTCTGATTTTATAACTTCATCAATAAGTTGCGCTGTCGGCACAACACTGTGCCCTGCCCTGTCCCCCTTTAGCGCCCCGATCTCCTCACTGTTACTCCCTCGCTTTTATGAGGGAAATTCACAATGAATATTTATGCGCGTCGCCTCTTGAATGGGAAATGCCTGGCAGTGGCGGTGTTTGGGGGCGGCAGCACTGGGGGAGGGAGAGGGGGTCAACAGCTGCCGACAGGCGCACCAGTTGCCCGAAATAGCTTCTTGGGTGGCAATGGGCGCCTTTGGCGGAGTCTTTGGAGAGTGGCCCAAACGCTTTGGCTCTCTAATTTTATTAACACGTTCATCATTCCTCGCCATTCGCCGGCACAAGTGGCGCCTGAGGACGGCAATCAGTCTGGGGATCCCCATTTTCCCCATCACACCACACCCAACCCCCTCTTCTTTGGAGGCAACGGCTGCCGCCTGCTGTTGTTGCCCCCAATATTGTTCGAAGGGGGCATTTTCATATCGGACCGTGCATGCATGAAGGCGAATTAATAAAAATTATTGCATATATTTGTAATTCCGGGTGCCTCTTTAACGGGTGGACAAGGGCCGTAATGAAAGGGGGAGGTATGGGGCGTTGAGGGCTTAGTCGCGGGCGACTTCTTTATTGGCGCGTGCTGCTGCTACCGCTGCTGCGTTTTATCGCCCCCTCTTCTGGCCATGCCCCCCCTCCAATGCCACTTCGTTTTATTGGAGCTTCCATATTTTTGCTGCTGTTTCAGATGAAAGCGTTTTAGAAGTATATTCCAGCACAGAGAGGAAAATGTAAAAATACTAGAATCTTTTTAAGAAGTTCTTTAAATTAAAAAAACCCCTCATTATAGCACTATGAGAGAACCAACAAAAGAATTGCAGCATATCCAAGGAATTTGTGGTGAAAGTGGAGTGGCGGGCCAAGTTCTTTCGGGGAATTTGGGGAATCTGAAGCAAGTCTAGTGCACAATTAAGTTGATTAATAGCTCGAGGAGCTCTCTACACCTCACAGGAAGTATTCCACCAACCAAGTATCTCGAAAAACTCTCGATTGAGCAAACAGAATCAAGTCTTATCTATATCTAAACATATATATATATATATTTGTTTGAGCTGTAATCTCAGACTTGTGTTGGCACTCCAATAATATGATATTCAACATTTGATTTACACTTGAATCTGTAAATGCTGTTGTTGCTGCTGCTGTTGTTGTCATTCATTGTGTTAGCACTAGAACAAACAATTTATTACAAACTGTCTGGCTAGCACCAGCAGACCTCCAGACCTCTAGACCCCCACATCAGTGTTATATCGTCACGTCACACAGATGAAAAAGTCGTGATGTAATTTTTTATCGATTACAGTTGGAGAAGTTGGAGCTAGGGGAGGTTGGGTTGTTGACTCCGGTGATTTATGGTGTTGCATGCATCAGGCATCAGGGCTGTAGCCTTAGGGTCCACACAACCCCTGGGCCACAGCGCCAGAGCTGGGCTCCTTTGTCACTTTCCATTAGCTTGTAAACTGGTGGTGTAAACTGTTGATTGGCACTGTGATATGGACAATTAAATTGTCGTTCTTAATCAGCGCCGAGTGCACTAATTCTTTGTGTTTAATTTTAATGTTTTTTTTTTTTCCCAACATTCTTACTATATGGTTTTCTCTACTATTATTTTTTTTTCTTTTCCCGACCAATTGCACGTTTCCAGAGCCAATGCGGGTCGCCAACGTTCGAGAAGGAATTGCGCGAACAAATTGAAAAGTAAGTGACAAATAGCCTAAATTGTTAATCACGATAACAGACACGATCCCTAACTACTGACACTGCTCTCGCACTAATGTGTGAAATAAAGAAAGAAAAATCGGAGGCCATACCCGGTCCAGAACCCTCCCGTTTCCTGGCATTTCCAAGCCACTTTTCGCGCTCCATTACCTTCGGCGTTCGCGTAATAAATTTCGAGCCAAATATTTATTTAATTTGCCTAGACTGGCAATTTTTGGAATAGTTCTTCGCGGTTCCTTTGGCAAATCTAGTACGTAAATAACTCATACTCCTGGCTCGTGACTGGCCACGCCCACCGTTTGGCATCTTGGCCTGGCCTGGTCTTGGCCATTACGCACAGAACAAGTTAACGGCATCGAATGCAATTTTGCAAATTGCCAAGAAGCCCAAGGAGCAACACAACAGCAGGAACAGCAGGAAGCGCTTACTGGCGAACCCATCAATCACCCCACGGAGCCGGAGCCCTCAGCTCCCAAAAAGTGTAATTACCGCGATTTGGAAGTGGTGCAAAATTCTGGTCTAGACCGAGATTTAAGTTCTCCGAACCCTCTTTCTTTATGGCCACCATTAGTTGTTGATATCAGAGCTTATTCAAGGACTGAACATTCAGCAGAAAATACATATTCAGTTGCTAATACTAGTTATTGTTATTATTTTTATAATTGTTTTAGATTTTTTGAAAATACAAAATAACTTCAAGTATTCCTTCAACTTCAAGAAAAGGTATTCCTATTCCTAAATATAGAATTCCTCTCAAATCTTAATCAATGCTTATGAATTTTCTGCTGAAAGCCCTTTAAACTTCCATGATTGTTGCAACTCGTTTTCATTTATGCATTTCTATATTTATCCCCTTATTTTTTTTACTTTGTTTTCATCATCATCCATCGCCTGTGTTGCCCGTGTTGCATTCACCATCCGCAGCATGAATCGCATTATGAAATCCAAAGAACGCAAGCAAATGCAGACATGTCGGGATCACAAGGCACTGCAGGTATGTATCAAAAGAAAAAATAAGTTGGAAAATGGGAATCCAGAGTCCGGAATACGGAATACGGAGTAGAGAGACCGGAGACTGGGCTGGAGGGGGTGGTGGCCTTTCCGCAAGGAGCCACACAGCATGTGGAAAATCAATTTGCACAGCGCGAGTTTCCAGTGCTCCGCTTATTCCCTCCAAGTCAAGTCATAAATAAACGCATAAATTCATTTTTAAGAACAATCTCTCCCCTCGCTGCCATTCCGGCGCATACAAATTGTCTCTTATCCGGACGGAATAACCCAACACAAAAAGTCGGAATGGAGCGCCAAGCGGCGGAGCGACTTTGTTGTTTTCGGCAAAATGCTTTCTGGCCGGGCTTTAGACATTTCTTGCCCGGAATTGATTGAGCTTCGTCGCCGGCATTAGAGACGCTTCACTGCGCCCTGGTGGCAGCTTTTCATTACCATTTTCCGGGGGAGATTACTTTCCCTTTCGTCGTTAACTTCTTGGCAATCTCATTTGCCTCGCCAGCTTGCTAGCTCCCAGCCTGCCACAAGCTCACCCAATTTTGAAAAGCTCCGCTAATGAAGCCCAAGGTTTCACGTTCAATGGTTGCATTCGACCTTCGGGCCAGTTAACAAGTTGGCTTTGATCGAGATTGGATATTTGTTACATGTTTGAATAGGGGGGTCTTGTAACTACTGCTCACTTAGCACTTCGGGAGTGATTCGTCGTTGCCTCGTTGGCTGATGGATGGATATATGGATGGGAGTCTGGGGTGGGGGGGCAGGTAATGTGGGACCCTCATCAGGCCAGCTGTCATGGGCGAAGGTTGCCCCCGGGCACTTGATAAATACTTGATCTAATCAGTTATGTTAACTCCGTTCCCAATAGAGGTGAAAATTGTAAACGATTTTTTACGATGTTTGGTGTGAAACCCCCTGAGGGTTCATTAACTAATTTAAGAAAATCGTGGTGTAATCCTAAAGTAATACATCTTTTCCCTTTCCAGACCCGCTTTGCCCGGCAGGAGAGCTTGCTGCACTCGATGCAGCAGGAGAATCGCGCCCTGGTCACCCGTATCCGGCAATACGAACACTGCCTCGACGACGTAATGCGCAAAGTGGTAGATGCTATCGTGGCGGAGGATAATCTGCGGGAGGAAGTGAGCATGCTAAAGGGCAGAGTCCGGGACTTGGAGGCACAGAATGCGGCGCTCTCCGCCAGCCCCGTGAAGGGCAGAGACGAAGGCTATTGCACCATGAGCAGCGGCCAGCCGCAGCCGTCTAATGGACACTTGGAGGATCTGCCAGAGGAGCCGGAACAGTGGCTGCTCCCCGCCGAACCGTGCTCCACGGAAATGGAGGACTGGAGCATGTCGCAGGAGGAGCTGGCTGTGATGACCTTTGACGATGAGCGGGAGCAGCAGCATCAAATGCAGCTCCAGCAGCAGCAGAGAAGGAAGCGAGACCATGACTGGCTGTGGCCATCAAGTGACTTTATCAATTCCACCACCGTGGAGACGGATTCCGTCGCCGATGGCATTGCCCAGCTGTTACAGCAGAAGGTGGGTCTATTTGAATGTTTCCCAAAAGAAGTGGAGTTATGTTTTGAGTTTTTCCAGATTGTTTACTCCGAGGATGAGGAAGTTGCCTGCACGGACTTCACCAATGACTTCTACAAACTGGTTAACATTCGCTCCAACTCTTCGCGTAGTCTGTACTCCTACTTGGAGGGCGAGACCGATGACGAGGATGAGGACGACGAGGAGGCGGAGGATTCAAGCATGTCGGAGAGCCAGGTGGGACCGGCGGCCCGTAATGCGATGAACGGTGGCAGCCCCACACCCAGCGAAGCGGGACGTGCCCAGCTAACCAGCTGCTCCTCCAGCGAAACGGATGAGCTCTCCGCCAGTCAACCGAAGAAGGAGGAGGAGCCTGACTATGCGGTCATCGATGAGTTTCATCGACGGGTCAGCGACATTGAGATCGAAGATGTGCCCCTGATCGTGAGCTGTAGCACGCCCATGAAACCGTTGGATGAGCAGCAGTGCATTGCCCAGATCATCAAGAGCGAGCTGCGTCGACCGCCGCATGTCCTGGTCAAGTCGAAATCGGTGCTAGAGGATCAGGAGCCAAGCTGCATCCTGCGGCACAATCAGCGCCGTGAACTGGAGTCCACTGTGGTCAGAAGCGACAGCATCAGCTGCGCCATGATGGCTAAAATGGCCAAAGAAGTAGTTCCCCCGGCACCGGGAATGGTGACCAAGCTGAAGGAGAGAATGCTTCAGAGGCAGGCCTCCACGCCGCCAACAACCAGTTCCTGGCGCCGGAGCAATGGCTGGAAAAGGGTGACATCTCCAGTACATCCTCCGACAGCGGCTGTTTCGTCAAAGAAGGTAATAAATACTCAAATTTTAATTTAAAAAATAAATATTAAAATATTTATTCACTTTCCAGAAGGAAACCAAATCATCGGAGCTGCCAAAGAGTTGCCTGCCCAAGGCCCAGCCCACCAGAATTCCAACGAGCATCCATTCGTCGGTGTCCTCGTCATCCTCCATGTCCTCGTCCTGCTCCCCGTCGCCCTCCTCCCCCTCGCCACAGTCCCCATCGCAGCAGCAGAAATCGCCAGGACAACAGAAGTCGCCGCAGCAGCGGAAATCGAAAATTCCACCGCCCGTACCAGTACGACGGTCGTATGCGAGTTAAGAGTTGGCGCCTCAGCGAAATCTCAAATCAATAATCATCAAGCAAACAAATATTTAAAGATTTAAAAGACTAAATTGTGATATATTCAAACAAAACAAAACTAAACGAAAACAGAGCAGATAAATGATAAAAGATAATACTAAAAACTAAAAAAGAGCAAAGGAGGAGGAGCAAGCAATGTTTTGTACGTACGAATACGAGTATTTATGTATATTGTAAATTTTTTGGAAGATGTTTTACCTTGTAAGCGGCACTGCCAACTGTTCCCCAAAAAAATTGAAAGATAAGCATATAGCTCACCCTGCTCTATGGCGTATATTTTGTAGAGCAGCGGCTGCAGCATCCCAATGCAGTAGGTTACTAATTAACTATAGATCGAGACAACTTCACTATTGATTGATCTCTTTGTCGCCGGCAAGGAGCAATTCAAACTACTATTAGCTAGCTTGGGTCATGAGCCAGGACATGAACTAAAACTGTAGTCTTCCGCACAAGTCGAGTGTTCTTGAACTGGACACTTCTAGGACGCATTAACTAAAAGGAGTTAGAACCCAAGGATACACTCGAACTAACGACAGTTGAACAATTGCATTTAAGGGTGAAATATTTCAAAGTGTTTACGATTCAATATAAAATGCATACTTATTTAAGTGCGACATAAAGTATATACTATATAAAAATATATATAGAAGGTTTCCAAGGGCGAACATTAAACGACAACAATAACAATAAACTGTAAATAGCAGTCGTCGAATAAAGCTAATGACAAAAACCTCTTCTTCAACCGTAGAGTTAGCTCCTCAGGGTCTGCTGCCACCGACTAATTTATCGCAGCAGCCCGCATCCTAATCATATATATATACATACACTTATATAGAACAGAACGCACTATGATCGAAGAAAGAAAGAAAACTTAGATATAAGCTCGTATAAACATTATAAATGTATTTTCGTAGCGTAGCGAGTACAAAATAAACAAAAATGAAGTTACAAGAAATAAATTATTGACCTAACCAATGGCCTCTCTCTTCTCACCGAAGGTTGGTAAAACTTTTACAAACATAGCACACTACGTGTAAATAACTAATAATCAATAATATAAAAGTACAAAAAGGTGACAAACAAACACGATCGCTTAAACTAGATACGGCCGAGCATGAGCTGCAGCTCATTCTTTATTTGACCGGAGCTGGAACGTGACTCCGGGGCGCTGACCCAGCAGCTTTTGTAGAGTTTGGTGTAAGCGTTTTCCAGGCACGCACTCGTGCTCGCTTCTGGCGCCGGGCCCTCAAAATGGAGTGCTAATCGGTTTTGGCGGCGTCGTTTTTTCAGATCACGGCCGGCGGTGTAAGATGGATCGAAGCTCAGATTACGCCGAGCGTTTTCCCGTCTATGAGCGGCGTAGCTTTCATCATCTTTGGCGGGGGAATTCAAGGCTATATCTTTCAGCTCGACATAGCTATCCGGGCGTAGCTCATGTTTTACGACCTGGTATGCAATGGTCTCATTACAATCGAGTGATTGATAAGGCAAGCTACGACTCTGCAATTGCCACATGGTGATACCCAGAGAGTACATATCGGAGGCGGCAGATAGCACTGTAGCTCTCAATGCTTCCGGAGACATGTATCTGAGGGTACCTCTAGGACTTCCTCTGGTACAATTTTCACCTATTTCCATAGATGAGCCAAAGTCGCAGAGTTTGCAGATGTAGCTACGCCTGTGCTTCAACCTACAACCCGCCACTGAAGGCCTAGCTCCTAGGGCTACCAAGATATTGGTCGGTTTCACATCTAGGTGCAGTACATTGTGAGAGTGACAATGCCTCAGGGCTGCCACAATATCAAGGGTTATCCTGCAAAGGTTAATATTGTAGATATATAATTTATAAAGTATATATTGAAACTTACAGAACTCTGTGTATAAGTGGCAGTTCCAAAATGTCAACAATCTTCTGCAGCGACTGGCCTCTTGGAAACTCCATGATTAGTAAGCCAAACTTGACCGCGGCTTCCAGTTTCAGGAGACGCACAATGTTCCTGTGCTTCAGGTTCAGCAAATGGGATTCATTTTGTAATGAGGAGGCCGCCTGAGATCGTATTATCTTTACAGCAACAGAACGATCTGCATTGTATATGATTAAATTATGAAAATAAATAGATGTTTTCAATTTACCCCGATAAATAGCTTTAAAAACAGCGCCATAAGCTCCACGTCCAAGCAACTGACACCTTGTAGATCCTGGAGCGCCATCCTTAAGAATCTCCTTCCGCTTTGGCGTGGTTAGCAAAAGCTCTCTTTTTCGGCAACCAATTGAAAGTGACCTGGATTTATTTATCAGGAAATATATTAAAATTATTATATTACAACATTTACATGACTTACATTGTGTCGGGTCGTTTAACGGTAAATTCAAGCAGCTGTTAATAATAGAGTTGCCAATTAAATAAAAATTATGTGACCAGTACTACTTATCTAGTATTGAATTAAAAAAAAAAAGAGGTTTTATATTTAAAAAGTAATACTTTATTTGTTTTATCCAGATTTGAATTCTGTATTTACAATTGTTAATAATAATGCACACTTTGTCAACTGAAACGCCTCTCCAGCAAATAAACATAAAAATGTTGATATGGAGGAACTGAGTTATAATCAAAAGATTTCGAGGGTTCATTTTGGGCTTAATACTACACAAATAAATATTACAAATTTTTGCCGTTAGGCTCTTGCTTTCAAAGTCGCTAGAAGCGTTCTCTGTGCAATTTCTCGGTCTCAGCTCGCAATTCCTGTAATTTTATTTCAATTAGTACAGTGAGATACAGAAACTAATAAAATGTACTGACCCGAAAAGCCTCCTGAATTTTATCAGTGATGAGTTTTCGCGCCTCGGGCTCCGGCACGTTACGCTTTTTAAGATCTAGCACAAACTGGTTAAGATCCAGGGGCTGACCAACATTTAAGGTGACCTGCTTTTTCCGATTGAACACATAGGGCTCCACATTGGGCAGGACATCGTCCATACCCTCGTGCCACAATGGCAAGATTATGGGAATTTTCGGGGACTCGTAGATGATGCGGCCCACACCCCACTTCAGACGCAGTTCCTCTTTCTCCATGTTCACCTTGCCCTCGGGAAACACATGGATCCAGTGTCCCTGGGCGGCCTTCTCTATGCACAGGTTAATGGCGTCTTGGTAGACCCCATTGCCTCTCACAACAGGTATGCACTTACCTGGGAGGGAAATAGTGATTGTGCAATACAAAATAAAAGTTATTGTACGAAATTAAATTTAAAATGAAACATTAAATTAAAGTTTAAAAGCATTTTCATTCCTTCAGAGGCAGGTGCATTCCCGTTGTGACCCGCAACAAGTTTTTTTTTTAAATGAGTACAACTTTTTAGTACGCCTAGAATAATCTTCAAGTGGAATTATTATAGACATTAGTTTCCTACATTATTAGCTTATAATTCCATTAGTGCGAGATTGAATAACAAAATAATTGCGCATAAAGAAAAATGTCAAAATAAAGCCTGAAAGCTTAATTACTTTATTAATACTTTTGTTGAAAAAATGATTTTAAATTATTTTTAAGTATGAACAAAAACTAATCAAAAACAAGATTGGTTTTTAAAAAATACAATCCCATGGAATGAAATGCTTATTTAATTTAAATTTTAATTTTGATAACCTGGTTATCGACATAACTTACCGAACATAAAGAACATAGAGTGCCACCTGTTGGTGAAGCATATGTCATGAGCGGCCATTGACCAGCGTATGCTGAAGGTGTTGCAGACCAGACCAATAGGAAGTGTACCCCATAGGCCGGGATCGTCGAAGCAGGAGTAGTGATTGGAGACCGTCACCAGGGGCACACCCTTGGGCCGCTTGCTGACCAGGTGTATTAGACGATCCCTGTTGCACACGTGGGTTTTGTTCCAGAACGCTAAAGCCAAAGTACAGAGGCGAAAGATCAGTATTTGCATAATTGTACGGTGCCATTTAACTTAGCACACGTTTGACCTTAATTTAGAGCGGCGAGAGAGAAACACCGCACACCGTTAATTAATCGGAAAGATTCACGGTCAGGGCGAACGGCTCTCTCGGCCAAAAATAAACGTGCCTTTCGGCCAGATGTTGGGTAAGGTCAGTATCGAGCCGACCCCCATACTTACTGAGCACAAACTTGCTGAAGAGTCCGACTACAGTGATCACAATTTGGCTGGTCACATACCAAAACATAGTCGGGTTCCGTAGCCTGGGGAATATCCAGTCCAGCTTGTAGGGTATCGTCACGCCGGACCCCCGGTCCGGATCCGAGATCCGGTCGGACATCGGGGGCGGCGTCCTTCTTGGCGGGGGGTTAGGAGAGGGCGAAGGAGGTGGTAGGGACGTGGAGAGGCTTATCCGATCGGTTTGCGTCGAGGTATCTTTGCTTTCCGGCTGGTTTTTGGCAGAAAATCTCTCATCCGGCAGTGGACGTGCTTCCGGAGCTGGGGTGTAATGCTGCAAATGGTGATTGAAGAAAAACATATTAATTACCAGTACTAATAATGCTGCCAGTCAACAAATCCCTATGCTAACCATGGCTAGGGTTTATTCTTATCGGGCCTGTGGTGGCTCGGAACAGTTCTTTTTTAAATATTTGTGTGGCTTGTCGCCGGTGCTCAGTGTTAGACATTTTCATTTAAATTTTAGAATATTTTCCCCTTCAAATGTCAAATGAGTGGGAGCCGCCTTTGTGCCACAGGTCGGCGGCATGCGCAGTGCGTACTGCACCGGTACTGACAGCTGCAACAGCATCTGCCGTTGATGCGGAAATCTGCCTTTTCTTTTGATGCCAGACAAGAGCGTAAATGTCGGCGGAAAACTCACATCGCCACAGATCCGATGCGACGACCTTGGTCAACGGGTTCGCGATATTGGCACCTGGGAATGTGTTCGCAACCAGTCGGCGGGAACTTTCGAGCGTAACTGATTTTTGTCTTGGCGAAAATCGCCCAGTGCGAGCTAGAAAAGCACTGGTACGCACTAAACAAGGGCGATTGCCGCCGCACACAAAGAGAGACAAAGACCAGAAGATAACCGGAAAGCGAGCGAAAGAGAGAGGTGGTGAGTCAAGAGTCAAGTGGCTTGAGAGATTGTGAAACTATCATTATCAGTTAGTAAACTTTGTTAAAAGGTAATCTGCCGTGCATACTGATCACGTTGTTCCAACTTGACTGATACGAGATAGCAGATAAGCATTTGAATTTGCGCGCCAACTGTCGGAAAGGTGAGTTTAAGAGTGTGGTGAGTTTAAAGTGTAAATACTGCTGCAGCATAATTGGAATACAATTGTTTAGATTTTTAAATAGAGAATGATTGAAAGTTTATTACTTGTAAGATCTAGGGTCCTTGTTTTTTATACATCGTTTCTAAAATTTGTATGATATTTAATTTAAAAAATGTAATATAATGATAATACAGTTACTACATTGTATTACATTTCGTATGGAAATATTTTGTAAGTGCTTACAACTTTAATTTAATAAACAATACTTCTTAACTTAAGATTTTTAGTATTTTCAACGCCCTCAAGACCGATAAATGTTTGCAGTGTAGGAGAAAGCGGTGGCCTGATTTTGTTTATTTATACATGTACATGTATGTACAACCACTAGTCCTACGGCTGAAAATAATGAATCAATAGGAAATTAAACCATCCTTACCCTAGTTAGCAGAGCCTGGAGCGGTGGTCGGAATCCGCCGGCTAGGCTGTAGGTAAAGTTTCGCATGGACACGGACGTGGATACGGATCCCACGTGCCTCGTGAGGCTCCAACACTTGACCATTAACATGATGAGCAGCACTTAGTTTCGGGAGTACAATACGCAGGAAATTCTGTTGAATATGTTGCGGCAATTTACATAACCGTTTATAAGCCAAGAAATCTTCTACACTCGCAATTTTGGACTGGCACCGATTGCGCTTTCCTTTCCTTCCGCCGTTTCTTCACCTGGTCTGCTGCATGTGGCGGCGAACTTGAAATCATACTCATGGGTGTTCGGCTAGGGGGAGGATAGGGCGCCGGGGTCGCTAGGCGCATGTCTCGAAAATAGTCAAGGCCAAAAGAATCTGAATTAATTGATAATTTAAAGAAAACAAGGCTGAAACAAGACGAATCAGCTGGTAGGTTCTGCCATTAGCACTATATTATTCCGGGATTAGCCAGCACTGCCCTGCTATAGTTTACCAACACTGAAACACATTGCTGGATATTTAGGTATGGTTTTGTAATACGCTCGTTCTTCAATTAAATTTATCTTTAAACCGGCTTTTCAGAACAAGAATGTCTCGTAGTGCCCGCCCCCTCACGTCCGCCCGTGTTTTGCACAAGATCAAGGCGCTTACCACGCCGCAAAACACCGACTATGTGGTAAATCGCAATCCACGGAATCTGGAAAGGCTGCGGATTGCCTACAAACCAGGAGGCTACCACTTAGAGAAGCCCGGGCGTTCCTTCTGGCACACACTGGAAATAAACACCAGCGGTCGATATGTCAGTGCCGATGTAAAGCACTTTGAAAACGGAACTATTTTGAGCGCCAGCACCTCAGAGTGGGCCATTAAACAGCAGCTATACAAAACCAACGACACCGCCGCCTTTATAAACCTTGGGCGCGTGTTGGCGCATAGATGCCTGCAGTCGGGAATAACTGAAATGACCTGTAACGTGGAGGCGGTGCCCGGTAGCAAGCTCCAAAAGTTACTTCAAACCCTCCAGGACAACGGCGTTTCGTTTAAGGAGCCTGCTCGCCTGGAAAACACACAGCCCTGGGATGCCGAGCGGCACGAAAAGCCCTGGGCTGTTTCGGAACAATCTCTAAACACAACAGTGCCCCAGAAGTCGGAAAAATAGTAAACAACAGCCATTTAGTTATTTTCGTTTCGTTTAGAATAAACGTTGATTATTATGCTAATTACATCACATCGTATTCATTTATTCGTATTTGCCCTTGATGTCCTTCCAGAGTTTCTGCGGTTAAAAAGGAATATTTTAGCCAGGAGTTCTCTTACATAAGTGCGACTACTTACGCCTTTGTTGACGGACTCGAAGATCAAGTTCGAGCTGACGTCCACGGCGCGCTCGAAGAAGAAGGCCGACGCGATGATGGCCACGGCGTAGGTGGAGGTGCGTTTGAACAGGGTATTGTAAATAACCTTCATGTTTGCGAGATTTATTTACTAGTTTTCGTTTTTTCTCGGAAAAACTACTCCGTCTGGCACGACAATTTCACAAGTGTGGGGTAACGTCAGAAATGCTAGGGAAGTGTGACCTCATTTATCGATTAGAACAGCTGGCAAATTGTAATCGTATTTCCTCCACCTCTAATTGGTATGTTGATGGAGAAAAACAAACGATTTTGTGAAAATGCGAAAAACCACAAATATTTAACGTAAATGGACGTAGCTACCATAGAGCTGAGCGTGGAGGCGCTTATCGGATCTCTCCTGGCCCTTGGAGTCCTCTTCGCCTTTTGTCGCAGCTTGTTGGCCGAAGACTATGTTATCAGCGTGCTCTCTGGGAAAACACGTCACAGCTGGAAATCAATAAAAGTCATCGAGCAGGTGCGCGGACAGTCACTTGTTGCCAGCCTCCACATCACCCGCTGACGCCCATCCCTTTTTCAGGCCTCTGGCTTCTGCAATGTATGCGAAATCCTGCTTACCCCTTCCGCTGGACTCTTCTGCGATTGCTGCGGACTGTATACCCACTCGGCGCCGGCATGTCAACGGCGGGCGGATCGGGAGTACCGATGCAAGGACAAGTGGTTGCGTAATGCAACCTCGGTGCACCATTTGTGGGTGCACGGGAATCTACCAATGGGCGTTCACTGCTCTGATTGCGGCGAGGAGGTGGACCACCACGTCAGCACCGATCCAGGATTGTACGGCTGGCGTTGCGCTTGGTGTCAGCGATGTTACCACAACGACTGTCACTCCCGTGCCGACCTGAAGGGTGCCTGCGACTTTGGGGAATTCAAGGACATGATCTTCCCGCCCTACAGCTTTGTAGCTGCCCGCACCAGGGACTCTATGCGCCTTCATTTGGCCAGTATTACGCCGCCAGATATTGAGAACTGGGAGCCTCTGATAGTGATTGCCAACACCAAGTCTGGGAGTAGTACCGGCGCAAATGTTTTATCATTGCTGAGAGGATATCTGCATCCTCTTCAGGTGATGGAACTGGGGAGCCGAGGACCACAAGATGCTTTGCAGTGGGCTGCCAAGGCCAGCCCGCGACCATGTCGTATACTAGTGGCCGGCGGCGATGGAACCATCGGCTGGGTGTTAAATACCATCTACGCATTGAACATAAAGCCCCAGCCCTCGGTGGCCATCATGCCGTTGGGCACCGGCAACGATTTGTCGCGAGTGCTCGGTTGGGGAGCAGAGCCACCTTCTGTTCTTGACCCTCTTCAAATTCTGCGAAGTATTCGTCGCGCCCGCTCCGTCAATCTCGACCGGTTTGACCTGCAGATCGAAAAGCTCCACTATCGTCTGCCCATCCAAAGACATCCCATAAAAACAATTCATGTTTACAATTATTTTAGTGTGGGTGTCGACGCAGCTATTACCTACAACTTCCACAAGACGCGTGAATCTCGTTTCTATTTGCTCAGCAGTCGCGTTTTCAATAAAGTAATCAGAATCAATTGCCTTATATTCCAATAATAGTCCTAATCTCTGTTGCAGCTCCTATACTTCACCTTTGGATCGCAACAGGTTATGCAACCTGGCTGCGAACACATTGAGGAAAAGCTAACCCTTTACCTGGACAACAAGCCAGTCCAACTGCCGGCTCTGCAGGCCCTTGTGTTTCTTAATATTGATTCATGGGGAGCTGGATGCAAGCTGTGTACGCTGAGCAATTCCAACGGCGAACCACGCATTGTCAACTCCATCTCCGATGGCTTGATGGAAGTCTTTGGCATCGTCTCCTCGTTTCACATCGCCCAGCTGCAGTGCAATATAAGCAAACCAGTGCGAATCGGTCAAGCCAAGTCAATTAGGGTAAGTATATATCAATCCCCTTAGGACTATATCCTATAAACTGGATTCTTCAAAATTCTAGCTGCTTGTCAAAGAAACTGTTCCAATGCAGGCAGATGGAGAGCCTTGGATGCAGGGTCCGGCAGACATACGGCTCCAATCGCGTAGCCAGGCCCGCGTCCTCAAGCTGGACGCAACCAGTACTTAGTTAATCCAATCCCAATAACCCCTGATGTGCCAGTGATCGTAATCTCGCAAATGTACTTAACCCGGAACCTCAGTCTAACCCTAATCGAATTCGTTAAGCTAAAAAGCTATTGCATTTTAAAACGTCCCTTAGTAAAGAGAGCCAAAGCTAGTCTGAAAATACAATAAACCGTATATATCTGAATAAATTCCACTTTATTTTAGTTTCAGTAATATTTTGAAAAAATAATTAAATGTTCGACTGGTGTACATGCGATGCCCGCTGGGGGCAAGCAAAACATTTACATTTAGGTCAATATGGATCGAAAGGCGGGTAAACAACGAAAGCAGTGGACGCAGCAGCTACTGAAGCGCCTAGAGCATTGTCAGCTCCATGATGGCGTTAACTATGTCGTTGTTATTGTTCTTCAGTGCCTTTATAGCCTTGGCCCTCGTCGTGTTCGCCTGCGTGATGACTAGTTCAATGTCCTTCTCATCAACGCCAGTGTCGTCGACTTCTTCCTCATCCTCCTCCGCGATCGGAGCCACAGATGTGGTGGCACCAACGCTGTCGGCGGCACCAGCGGCTTCCGGAGCCTTGAACTTCTCAGCAGCGGCCACCTGGGCCTGCTGCGACAGATCCTCGATCTTGGCCTCGCCGAAGACGATGTAGGTGTCGCTGTGGGGGTTCTTGTAAACATCCGGGTTGTTGATCACGAACAGGATGTTCTTTGACTTGCGGATGGTCACGCGGTTAACGCCCTGGATCTGCTTCAGGCCGAGCTTAAGCATGATCTTCCTGGCCTTCTTTTCACCGCGCGACTGCTTGGCCTTGGAGACCAGGTCGATTGGCAGACCGGTGGCTCCACCACCCAGCTGTGTTGTGGCGGCAACGGCCTCCTCCAGACCGGGCATGTCGCCGTCAGAGTCACTGTCGCTGCCATCATCCTCAACGCGAACGTCCTCGGCCTTTGCCTCAGCGGAGGTGGAGGGAGCAGCCTCGTTCTTGATTTCAGTCAGTTCAGGCATCTTGATCTAAAAGAAAACAATACGATCAATAAATTGCATCATAACTCTTGGCAATTAAGGGCTAAAAAATCATATGGCGCCGGTTCAAGGTGCAGTGAAAAAACGCGGTTGGGGGTAATTCTATTGATTTTTTAAGCGAGGGTGGGCACATCGTCGCTTGAAAAATCAAACCACCGAGATCTAGTATGTTGGTTTTTTATGTTAACCGTGGGATTTTACCCGGTTTTTCACAATTTATCAAGATATTAAAGAGAACCACGTGGGGTGTACATACGTTTCTCAAACAGGAAAGAAAATGGCGGCTGCCAGTGAGGTCGGTGTGTAAGAATAAAGAAATACCGAAATGTGTTTAGCCAAGTTCATCACAAGTGTTGGAAAGAATCTATACAAAAGTGTTGTAAAACGTCAGTATTCCGTTAAATTTGAATTTGTATGTTATTGGGTTAACAATTCTTATACATAGTTGCACATAATTCTAATCCATGTGGTTAAAAAATAATAATTCAAATACTTACTGGAATCATTTTCTTAATAAAAATATATATTAGTAAGAATTTATTATAATAATGAAGGAAATTTTTCGTTTGAGTATTGAGGCTTGCGAGTTTATAATGAAGTAAATTGAAAAGCTACATTTCTGACATAAAATACAAATTACTAACTCCTAATCCTTTCAACTTTCAATTAAGTTAAGTTCGTTATCCTTTTAACTACCTCTGGTGGTTGGGAAAGTAATTAGCATAGTTTCCAATACAACTTTTTCCCAGGAATAACAATTCAAGGGTTTAGGACATTTTTGATGAGCGTTCATGCAAACGAGGGACCTGTTAATTACTGAATAAACCATGGGCATGCTTACCCACAAACGAGCATCGACAGAGAAATCGAAAACTGTAATTTGCTTCCAATATTCCAATTAAATTGTGTAAACAATTTGGCATAAGCCAGAAGTCCTTAATTACAGTGCGGGCAGGTGGTCAGGTGGGGAAATAAGGATACAGGCGGAAGGGGTAAAATGACACTATTACGGGACGGGCCAACCGTCGAAGCCAATTGAGTGGGGGCGTGTCGATTGTTGGGTAAACATCGGACAGCTCCTTGTGTGTTGCGGTTAAGGGAACACATGTTCTACTTCACATCCCGTCGACAGCCATGAAATTTTAATTTTCATTAGTCAAATGATATAATTTAGTTAGCAAAGACCACAGACGGGCGACTGCAGGCTGCTGTTGGGTACTTAGTTGCCGATACAACCAGAATCTCATTATACGTCTCGATAAAGCTTTAATTATTTTCGTTTTGTCCGCTGTGCGCATTCCTTTTGCCCAACTATGCGAGCAATTCGAAACAATTTGTCAGTAAATAATTTCGAATTGTTCTCTGTCTGCGGCAATCAAAAAAATCTAAAAAACGCGTTCGCTCAAACGAAGAGAGTGCAGATACAATTGTATCTGTATCTGTATCTTTTGACTTTTCAGCAGACTGGGGACTGGGCATTGGAGTGGAGCAGGAATGGGGCTGGGCAACAGTCCCGGGTGTCAACAGCACTCTGATTTATTTGAGCGCATTCAACGCTTCGTTGCATTTCGTTAATTTGCCCGTTTTCCGCTGCCAGAAGAGAATCAGCCCAGAAATATGCACTTATACCGAAACAGTCTATTGATATATTCACATCCCCACCCATCCTTGACAAAGTGCCAAAAAAAAAAAAACCAGCAACAGCAAAGGCCCGAGAAGCTTTCATCATAATCAGAAAACCAAAATTATCAACGAGCCGCATAATTATATTGTAATTTATGCAATTGTCGAATTGCCGAAAATGTTTGCAATGTTCGATGCTCGTAAAAGATTTGAAACGCCCGAACGTGACCAATGGCCAATATGGGCTCCAATCAATGGGAGCCAGGTTTGTTGTGGCCAAAATTTATCAATTAAGCCATACACATGCAAATTATTGCCACCTGCTGCGGCTATTGGGCCTCTTGGCATATGAATGATAATAAGTATTTTATAGTTATTCCATAGTTGTGTATTACTTTAGGTATTTCAGGTACTGCGGATGTTGGGTGTTAGATGTACTTACAGCGGATGTGATAAAATGAAAACTTTTTTGGGGAAAGTTAAGACAATATTAGTAGGTACTATGTAGGTTCTTCTAATCGTACCTACAACGTTTAAAGTTTTATTTTTTACTATTTTTACCATTTCAAACTCATAATTGAAAAAGAAACCCTAGTTCCGAAGGTTTTAGTTTATTTATATCTGTTTAAATAATTTAATCAAATTCGAACATAGTTTCATTAATAATGCATATTCTAAAAGTGCTCTAGAACTCAAAAATTGTAGATTAATTTAAATATTTCATAAAGAATATTATTACCGAAAGAAAAGTCTATGTATATAATTATAATGAAAAATATCCACAAAAAACCTGGAAAATAAATACCTGGCAAGCAACTGTATATTTTACTAAAACTATTTCCAAATTTAATATGTATTACTTCATTGTTAATGCAAATAAATTATACCTTAAAAGAAAGTTTAAATGGGAGGCAACCACTTAGAGATGTATTAACTAATTCGCAGGCACAAAATGGGAAACACTCGAGTGTCTGCTAATGATGCCCGACAGTCACACCCACTGGCAACTGATGTTTGAATTTAAATTGGTCACTAATATGCCTCGCGAGAACCCCATCTATTTGCCCTGGAGCCATTTTGATCCCCACCAGACCCTCGTCCCATCGAGGGGGAAGCTAACGATGACGGCGCATTAATGGCAGGGCGTTCTGTTTTCTGCAGTCCGGCGATGTCTGATTACCGAGCGATTCGAGCAGAACGCAATTACGGAAAGCGGGAAAGTGGTGTTGTGGAGTCTAGTGGTGGGGCAGCTCCACTGCAGGCAGGAAACTGGTTCGCTGTCTAAGCCACCCGACAATTAGTCGACCAGCCAATGGCGTGGCTCTGATAGAAAGAGATACCGAATGCTTGGCATGCGCCATATTGAAAATGGGGCGGAGCTCGTGGCTATGGGACTCTGGGTCTGTGACTCTTTGGTGGTGGCTCATCCGCCTTGGGTGCTGCCTGGGACGCGTACGTGATGTCTGCTGCAGTTCGACAGTTGCTCGCCGATCTCTGAACGGTTCACTGCGTCGTGTCTGAATCGAATACTCGCCACAATAAAAAAGAAACCAAGAAGAACCAACTGAAAAGTGTGTTTTGTGGTTATTGTTTGGAGTGTCTTTGGAGCGGGCAAAATGGAACGACCTTCCCTGCTGCAAACCGGTGAGCAAGGAGGATTTGATTCCACAGCCACCAAGCTAGTCAGCAAGCCCTTTCCCAAGCCCTTCTCCATCGAAAGCCTGATTGCCAGCCAAACACCTGCCAACACTTCGCCGCCGTCGCCTCCGGAGCAGGAGCATGAAGCGGAACAGGATCAGGAGATGAGTGCCCGAGCCATGGTGGCCAGTTCGGCTCTGGGACTTACCCAGTTCCCGCTCTACAATCCCTGGCTGCACGGCTACTTCGCCCAGAACCACGAAAGATTGACGCATTTAATCGCCAGCGGCGGCGGTGGCGGCTGTTACCTGCCCTCCAACCCAGTAAGCCATCCTGGCGCCCCGCACCAGCCACAACAGCCGCCGCCTCCACCACCACATGCCTTGGACAAGCAGCCGCCACCACTGCCCCATCCCTTGGATACCAGATTCCTGCCCTTTAATCCATCTGCTCCGACGGATCTAAGCTACCGACGATTGGCCGAGCTCATGAACCAGGACTACGTCCATAGCCTGAGTGTCCATGCCCGGTTGCAGCATATGGCCGCCGCCGGAAGGCTTCATGAGGATCAATCAAATCCCAGCTTTGTCCAGCTTCAGGAACCGTCGCATATTCAGGCCCAATCCTCGCCAGCAAAGTCCGGCAGTCGAAGTCCGGTCGAGCCAACCCTGGATGTTGGGGTAGACGAAGATTTTGAGTGCAGCGGGGATTCCTGCAGTGACATTAGCCTGACCATGTCCCCGAGGAACTACAACGGGGAGTTGGAAAAGAGCCGCAATGGAGGTGAGTACCATTTATCCTTATAAGTCGATGTTATCCTTGCATATTAGAGTTGGAGTTGTATTGGAGTTTAGAGCCATATTGGCACTACATGTTTTATTCTAGTAAACAGCCAAATGTACCCTGTCTTTTGGGATAAACTTCTTCAAAAACCTGACACCAAAGGCTCTCAGCTTTGGAGATTATCCCTTAACCCCTATATAGCTCCTGTCCATTCAGGACTCACTTTATAAAGTGTTGTTGTCACGGTAATTAAAATTGAGCCTGCCACGTCATAATCAAAATTAGCATAGAATGCATTAAGACCCAATGTTTGATGTCAATCAAAGCTGTGAAAAGTTTTCACAACTCCGGACGTCTGACTCCCGTACGGGTCCGGACTCGACCACAATGGAATCCGGGAGAATGGAGTGCTGACGTTTTGACAAACGTTATGATTTAGTCTGGTCATTGGAATGGAATGGAAATGTACTACTCTCTTTGTCATCATAATCATCCGTGGCCCCCTGCTGCTCCGTAAAGTGTCTGAAAAGAGAGCTAACCGTGGCATAATCAATTTGCCTGGAGGGCTGTAAAAAGCGCAACAAATTTTCCCCACTAATATATTCATAACTTCAAGTTGAGTGGGTGGACGGGGGGTGGAGTGACGGAAAGAGTGGGTGATGGGTTAAGGGTGGTGGTGTGCTGGCGGGGATGCTGAAATAAATCAGTGACAGCGGTCGCTTTTGAAGCGTGTAAGTGTTAAGAAACCGCTTAACCAAATACTCAAAATTAACAGACCCTGGAGGGGGGTTAACTTTTCAATTTGTATTTTTTGGATGACACCCCCAGTGGTCCTCATCTGTCCCCGTCCAAATGGGGCATTTAACATTCACGCTCAACTTGTGTCCACCCAAAACAAGCAGATCAAGTTTCGAGCACTCCTGATGACTCTGCCCCAGCCTTCAGACACATGTATCCAGTTATAAATAAATATGTTTGCCACAAGTTATGACACAGGCCATTTGCGCCAGAAGTCCAAACTCGTTAGGGCCCCATTAATGGGCATCATGGAGGAAGCGGCTCGATGGCCCGAGGAGAATCAGTCAGGATGTGGGCCGGACAGCGGCATCTTATTGTTCATATTTTATTTAGTTGTGTCACCAAAGTGAGTGGATTAAACTACCCATAAGAACTGGGGATTGTTAAGAAATATTAAGGATATTAAGAGTGTGTCTCATATAAATAGTGTTTAATGGAGGAAATTAACATGGTTTATGTGGAGTAATTTCTTTCATAACATCTCTATGACTCTTCACACTATTATAACCTTTACTATCCTTCAGCTTACACAAATTCAGACAGCGAGGACTGCAGTGATGATGAAGGAGCTCATTCTCGCCACGAAGCCTCCGGAATGGGTGGCAAGGACTCCCAGGGTAATGGTAGTAGTTCCAGCTCCAAATCCCGCCGCCGGCGAACCGCTTTTACCTCGGAGCAGTTGCTGGAACTGGAGCGCGAGTTCCATGCCAAAAAGTATCTTAGTCTCACAGAGCGCAGTCAAATAGCCACAAGTCTGAAATTAAGTGAAGTTCAGGTGAGTTATAAGGATAAAATAATACAAATATAAAATATGTAGCTAAGATCAGATTTAATGTTTATCTTTTAGGTAAAAATATGGTTCCAAAATCGTCGCGCGAAGTGGAAACGCGTCAAGGCAGGACTCACATCGCACGGCTTGGGTCGAAATGGAAGTAGCAGTGGCACCAAGATCGTAGTGCCCATCCCAGTCCATGTGAATCGGTTTGCTGTCCGATCCCAACACCAGCAGATGGAAAAGATGTGCCTCAGTGGTCCCAAGCCGGATCTGCGCAAGAAGCTATCGACGGAGGCGATCGGAGGATTCGAGAAGTTTAGTGGTTCCGTTGCAGCAGCACCACCCGTACCCGGAGGTGTGGGTCTGGGTGTCGGGTTGGGTGTGGGTGTGGGCGTGCCTCCACCCCTCGCTCTAGCCAGGAGCATCTATTGACGGAGTTTTGTTTGAAATTTGTGGGAGTGTATATATTCAAAAAAGAAGTTCAGCTGCAAACCAAGTTTTTCTTTTTGTAAATAAATGAACAAAAAATGCATACAATATGTAGTTTATTTTTATAGAATTCTTATGGTTTTCTCAAAACAAAGATTGGAAGAACAAATGTTTGTAGACAAAAATGTTCATGCCCCAAATCTTATTTTACTTTTTCTCAACCACATGAAAGGACATAAATCCTGCCGGTCCACAAACCCGCCCATCCAGGAGCCTAAAGGTACTCAAGGGACCCAGAGCACAAATCTTGCCTCAATGTCAATTGGGACAATTAAACTGCCAATTTGTGCGATTAAGCACGGCCAAAAGTGGCCGTCTGGAGTGTCGAAAATCGAGAGTTTGCCGCTTCGATTTCACTGTGACTAATTTTTGTAATTTAACGCACCAAATTGCCACGAAATGAGGTCCTTACCGATCCTGCAAGAGACAGTCGGTAAGCCAGAGAGGGAGAGTGCGACCCCGATGGCAAACAATCACTCCAGGTGTCTCACGTGTCACGCCTCTTGGGCCAGTCAGCAGGATCCTGGGATCCTGAATCCCGGGTACTCTTCCCCTATGACATATTAGCATCAGAATCGCTCCCACCCTTTGTGTGAGTTTTTAATTGCATTAGCAACTTATTGGCTACTGCCTCCGTTTGCCTCGACAATTGACTTTTGTTTGCCGAGCAACTCCTAATTGTTCCTGGCTAAAGAATCCGGTGGTAAGGGAGAAATCCACCCCAGGGAATGGAACTGGCCTCGGTGCGATGCCACCCTTGTGTATCGTTCACGGCTTTATGTTTGGGACACGCCTCCAAGCATGGGTTTTTATTATTGTAACACTTTGCAGGCAATTTGCTGCCGGCTGCGGGATTGCTCTTTTCAGAATCGGAAGCTGCAAGTCGGTGGATAGCAGGGAGTTCACATTGCGGCAAATGAACAAAGTAAGGCAGGAACATAGAGTTCGGCTTGGTTAGTCCAAAGAATGACCTGCAAATGAAAAAGGTATATGACCAAATCCTCCTCCGAATGGTTTTTTAAAAATGTACCTTTATTTCGAAAAACCTCGATCAAAATTTCAAGTTGTAGCGCACTGACACTTCGTAGTTGCCTACCCTACAGCATCAGATCGCTCCTTCAATCTGTGTATTTTTTATTGCATGATTTTGTTGTACATTATATCGCCATTAATTACGTGCGGATTTGTGTCGGACGGAGTAGTTAAGCAACCGTAATGTGGCACGTTAAAAATCACTTTAAAATCATTAAAAAATGAACGGAAGCCAGTTACCATTGGCGAAATCCGCGAAGAGGGTCGGTAGATTCAAATCCGGATCCTGTTAGCAGCCAAAGGGGGTCATAGTTGAATGCAGGGACACTACCCGGAGTAGCAACCATAAATCAAGCCAGAAATGCGCGCTGTCATAATTTGTCATAAGGCCGGGACACGCCCACTGCGAGAATGGTTCCCTCACAGACTTTAAAGGGGAAACACATGGACCGGAGAGTACTCCGGGCTTCGCTGTACGATTTTGCGGCAAGTTTGTTGCCACGGCTAAAAGTGGACCTTCAAAGGCACCGAGGACGACTCATTACAGTGCACTTGTCAATGGCCAATGACAGCGCGGAATATATCTTCATGAATTAACTGCCCATGAATTGACTGCCCCTCATGGACAATCAGCGGCAATCAGCGATGTAAACGGCTTGTTAGCCGAGGGGGCAATCCGGAGGAGGGACACCCGGGGGAAGAGACACATTGCCATGCAATCTGTCAGTCAGTCCCCCTCCCTCTCAGAGGGACTATTGGGCACCCAAAGCTGCTCCGTCCGCCTGGCTCCATCGGTTGAAAATTCCTCTGAAAAGAAAAAAAACTCAAAACCAAAATGCACTCACGCACCTGAATCCCTAATAAGCCAGAGCGGCCCACGATGACGATCCGTCAGCGTGGACAGGCGGCAGCTACCGGCGGCACTGCATTTGGATATGGACATTTGGGAAAGGGGCGCCCCAACGGGGTACCAGGTGGGCATATAAGTAAGTGGTTTGTATTAGAGAGCTTCATGATAAGAGATTTTCAAAATCTATAGTACCACTTTCAGTGAGATATGGATATGGATTTAAAGAGGAAATATAAGGACATAAACAATTATATTACCCTATCAACTTATTCTAGGGTATTACTTGTTTCGATTTATTTGCCTTCATTGACTCCACCAGCTTACCTTTTCATTTTGTTTGAGTGAATTAATTAATTACAATTTTATGATTTTATTAATTTCCAAAAACCGAAGAAATAAGGCATGCAAGTGGCAGCCCGTTCTGACTGTCGCCCCCAGACCCAGTCCCTGTCATCCGCCCCTTCTGGTCTCAGAGCTTCCTCTCCATTCACCAGTGTCGCCGTCGCCGTCCGGCGATGTCCACTGACCATCGTCCGTCCGTATTCCAATTCCCATGGCTTATGGGCACGTACCGGTGAGCTCGTAATAATAATGAATGTAAATTGCCGCAATGAACGATTTAATGTCTTAATTCTTTATTTATACTGCATTTTCGTATATGTCGCTACAGCCACGCCCCCAACTGCCTCTGCCTCCCCCCCGGCTTATATTTTGGGGGCGGTAGGCGGTCAAACAAAACGATGGAAAACGATTATTACTCTATGCACCGAAATCAACAAAAGTGCCGACCACATGAATAATGCAATAAAGATGAAATAGAATAATGCGTTTGGAAAATATTATGAAAATGCATTTTTGAATTGATCAATTTTCAAAGACTTTTCGCGGCTGCGGCTTCTTGACTTGACCACTTTCTGGTCACGAAGGAAGCCGTTTGTCAAAATGTGTCCAACGGCTTCGTGCCAGCTAATTAAATAGAAATATATTACAATTATACCCCACCCCTCTTGGTTATATGCTAAACGATTCGGGGAAGAAAATATTAGAAGCGGGTGTCCAAGTGTCTGGGATTTGTCAGAGATTGTCGGCACCTCTGAAGGTTCTATCGTGGGTTGTGATTTCTACAGAAGTGGGTGGAGGGCTTCAGGATTGCATAAATTGAATCGAAAGGGCTTTGAGAAAGGAGGAAGTCTTGTAGAGGATCTCAGATTCTGAGGTTCACTCCTCATTTATTGAGAAGTGAGTTACCAGAAGACTTGAATGGATTTTTATCTTAAATTTCTTTATTTTCTTTATAAAAAAGCCTTTTAAAACAACTTTTTCGGTTAATGTATAATACGATTTTTTAATCTTTTCGAAGGATATGCTATTTCCTCTATTCTTTGCATAATTTGGCAATATATTCCCTCATTAATCTAGGGTCCTAGCTCCGAATACCCACGATCACATCCGCTGTGGGCCATGAAAACCACAACGATCTGATATCCCTGATCCCAAAGAATTGGAAACCCCATAAACCATAATAAACCAAATTGTGGCGTGTGCACGTATTCCCAGTCCAGAACTCAAGATTCTGGGTGGCCCGACTAGAGATCGTTTAGAATGAGTTACGAGGCCAGCAGGAGAATTTCAGCAGGCCTACGTGTCCTCTACAGGGACACGTTTACTCTCCAGCCACTGTCAGGATACACGTGCAGGTAATTGATAAAAACTAGAAATAGGATCAGATAAAATCTGAGCTGCTGGTTTTTTTGGGTAATTGATATTCTTGTCCATCGACAGACACAATGTTAGCCGGGGGACGGAATGGACTCCCGCAGAGTCACTACGATACATATAGCAATCTGACCCGTAAAAAACGGCGGACGCAATTTATGCCACAGCATCCGGATAGGTTACACCCACTTGCCACTTACCCCGCGTCGAGTACTGTCATGAGTTGGCAAAATAAAACCGCAAATCGAATGAGAGAAGAACAATAAAAAAAATCAGAAAAAACGAAGATGTTTTTCGTAAAAAGAGCAAATCATCATCATATGGACGCGACGCTGGGGAGCTTTCCCTCTGGCCACGCCTCCAAAAGGGAGACAGAGACCCGTGTCAGTCTGTCTGGACTCGCTCCAGTTCCGCCCCGCCCACCGACTTCCGGCCTGCAAAGTGCGGAGTCTGGGTTTTTTGTGGCCATAATTCCAGCGCTTGCCACCCGCCTTATGTGCCAAAAACTGGAGGATTGGGTGTGTGGGTGGCTCCTGTCCATAATTACAAACCACCCACAGAGCCCAGGCGCTGGCCCTTGGCCGTAAGCGTAAAAAACCAACCAAAATGTGATGACGTAGTTAGAGTGTTTCGAGCCACCGAGTGAATTGTTTGGCAACGCCCCCAGCTCAGCAGGCGGTCAAATTTTGTGGTAATCATCGACGCACCATGATATCGTCATCCGGATCCCTGGCTAAGTGCTGGCAGCAATCTGTAGTTTTGGGCAGCAGCCAACCAATAAACATAAAAAACTAATTTAATAGAGCGTCTATGTGTGAATGTTTCGAAGTTTCATGGAAAAGGAAATAAATAGAAACGGTTTAGTTTATTTGAGGTAAAGAATACTGTTTTTAATTCAGCATAAGGGGCTTTAACTTGAACTATAGATAATATAATGTAGAGAGAAATTAGCTGAATCAAAAAGAGATTCTAAACTAAGGTTTGTTTTTAAATCAGTTCGATTATGACTCTGCAGTGATGAGTATCAAAGAAGTTCACTGGAAGCTAATCTCTAAAGAATCTAAAGAACACAAAGCTTTACTACACATTTATGCCTTTTAAACTAATCCTAAATATAGCCTCTAACATGCACTTAATAAACTAGAAAATAGCCCTTTTCTAGGGCCTACAACTAGATTTGACTATGCTTGTTTGCTGAAATGGCCAGTACATATATAAAAAGGTTCTCACAACTTATCACAACATTCCAGAAGAGATTATTAGAGCCCTAGAGGCGCTGCACACAACGTCTTACAAACTTGGCTTTGTGCTGGCACATAAACCTAAAAAGACCAACTACCAACAGAAGGCTAACTCCATAGCCCACAATCAGGACCGCTCGTTTTCGTCGTCTCCACCTCTGGTAGTCCCGCCAAGATGCATAACGATTGCGGAACTGGAGCGGCAGTTCAAACTTGCTGCGACGCGGAAAGAAGGATAGATAAAAATCCTCTAGCAGGTGCCGGACAAGTTCATTATCCTCGTTTCTGTTTGCGTCCAGATTATCGTTAATGCAGTTGAATTTACGAGGATTCCGGCGCAAGCGATCCAGGGACTCTACCACCTCTGTTAGGTTGGATGTGAGCATCATAAAGTTACTGTGTGAAGTGCGCTTTGGGTTGACATGAAAGCGATACTTGGGGCGCACTGCAAAGTTGGCGGCTAAAGCTTCAGCTAGCAACGAGCATCGGACTACTAAATCCCTGGTGATGGTTGGCTGAAATCAATATTCTCCATAAAATCTTGATTTCTAATGGAATCTTTATATATTACCAAATTGGAATCCTCGTATCTCTCATAAACCAGAGTGGAGTGCTCAACAGTCTCTATTTTTATGTCCAATCCCAGGTTCCTGGTACAATTTTGGATGACTTCCTCAAAGTAACGCATGGCTGACCAGTCCAACGGCGGCGGATAGATACGCGTGAGAAAAGTGCGCACCTCCCGATCCGACCAGGTTCCCGAGCCATCTGTGTCAAACTCATCAAAGATTTCCTCCACTCCCAGCACCTGAGTTTCGCTCATGAGGAATGAGTAATAGGCAAATGCATACTGCAGATCTGTGGATGCCCGGAAGCGCTGAAAGGCCGTCTCGATAACCTGTTTACTAAAACGCTGCTGCATGTCTTCCACAATATCCCTGTCAATAAGAAATCCCACGTGAGCTAGAACATGACGTGCCTTAAAACCGTACGCTCGATTTAGCAGCATATTTGTGGCAATCAGGGAATGGGAGTAGATGTCCGTAGACGATTTAAAGTCCTCCTTATGCAGCACATTTCTAATGGTCGTGGGTGGACCTATGCTGCTTACTTCAAGATCGGGATTCAAGGACATGAGCTTGTCTTTATTGAAGCGCTCGACAATGCGACGAAGCTCAGTGAGCGTAGACACATTGCGGTGGCGCATAACTTCTTTAAAGTTAGCAGAGCTTTTCTTGAACAGCTTCTGCAGACCCATGTGCGGAAACCGATGTAATGCTCCAATGGGCTGAGTTTCGTGTGGCTCATGATTTGGTGGAACGACGTGCACGGCATCTGCGGGACCAGTTTCGCTGCAATCGCCTCCATCAAACTGGCAGGCATCAATATTGCAGTGTCGGTCACAGGCCCCATCGCCTATGTAAGTCCACGGGCAGTCCAAGGCGCAATCGGGCACCATCCAAGCCTGGTAAACACGCACGCCCTCCGCTTCCGTGTACAAATCTTCGGGGTACAACTGAGCTCCCAAGAATATATCGTCGTTCAGATACAAAAACCTTTTCGACAGCTTTGGTATACGATGCAAGAACGTCTCGATTGCGGAGCTGGAAAATGTTGGAAGCTGGGCGGGATCGGGTGCAAGCACTTCATGTGGCACCACCGTAACTTTCTCGTAACTGAGATCCAGCCAGTTTGGAATCTGGCCATTCGTGACTATATAGACATGGCGAATCCAATTGGCGTGCTTCTCCAGGGAGCGCAGGGAATACCTCAGCTCGTTTTTGTCATCAAATCGCGAGGGGTCGTAGTTGGGATCGAAGCGTAGGATGGCCTCTATGAAGTTGGGATCCGATCCATTCACCCAAGTGTAAACTGCATCGATAGGGCTGCACGAGCTACGAGACTCGCCGGTTGCAGCATTTTCTGACGAGGATGCCCAACTACCGATTAGCCAAACCATTAGGCACAATCCTCCGAGCACTGGCATGCAAAAATTAAGAAAATCATAAATTTGACATTATCGGTTTTTGCATAATCTTACCCAAGAGTATTTGCAGCTTTCGCCGAGACTGCATCTTCAGCTGCTCGAATGCCCGCCGCATCTTGCGCGGCCAGCGGCGGCGCAGACGCATCTTCATATAGGAAAATCAGTCATATTCATTGATAATTTGCGGAATGGAAAATCATAACAAAAAGTTTGTTGTTGTTTATCTATCAGCTGGCAGGCAACCCTATTCCTCTATCGATAACCGCTAGTGATGGGCTTTTCTCGGCTTACCAGCCCTGTTATCGAGCCGCTGTGACTGCCGATAGCCCCCAAGTCAGCTGGTCGTCCATCACATGACCGTCATAAGGTTTTTTCTCACTGGAACAAGCGACGTCGGGCCATAACAGCGAAAATTTTCACCACCATTTTTCGTTTGTAGTTTCAGTTCACTTTTCGGTTAGTTATCCTTTGCATTTTGTGTTCTTTTGGTTCTTTATTTATGACTTTTAGTTTTTCCTTTGTTTCCATCTCCGTAAAGTGCGTCGTTGCAGCGATTCTACCGAAATGTTGTGGAAGTCGCTGATTGCCCTGTGCGTCATTGGAGCAGCCTTCGCGGAGCAAACGCCCGTCTTTCTGTGGGGTGCCAACAGGTGGGTTTTTATTGAGCTTTCTCAACCTGTGGAATTTGATTTGGAGTAACTCTGTTTTGCGCAGTGTGGCGAAGCCCTCGCTGAAGACAGTGCCCCAGGCGGAGTTCGCCGAGCAGTTGGCTACGTTGCTGGAAGATCACATGGTCGTGGCCTTCGAGGAAAATGGCGTAAGTGATGACTTAGGTCTTATTTTTTGAAAAAACTAAATTTTTTTAATTGCAGTTGAGCAGCAAGGACTTCCTGTGCAGCAACTCCCTGTCGCAGTCCTGCTATGCCCAGTTGCAGGGCGTTAGCCCCAAGACCTACTACACCAGCGTGGAGAATCCCACCGAGGCCCTGCGTTCGGTCGCCGCCAAGCGGGAGCACAACAGCATCGATGCCAGCGGAAAATTGGTGAACCCAGCCAAGTGCGCCGCCGGCAAAGCCCTGTTCGTCAGCTTCGAGGATTCGAAGGAGAGTCGCGAGGCCACCCTGGAGTCACATGGTTAGTAAGCAAACAAACTTCCAGGTGATCACCTCACTTCAATCTTACAATTCGAACTCCCGTAGACGCTGCCATCGCCGCTATCAGCAAGCAGTTTGAGTGCAAGGTGGCTTATCTGTATCTGGCCGCACCGTCCACCGCTCCGGTTGTTCAGCGTCGCGCACGGCGTGACACGGCCGCTACTACTGGAGGAACCTACTTTAGGTCCACAAACCAATTTTTCATCTTTTACACTGCCCTTCTTTACAACTCGGATCCCGTCACCTTTACCGGTATTTCAGTCCAGAACGATACCAGCTCCAAGTTCACCGTCACATTATCGTCTGCCTCCAAGTCACTCGTCTTTGATGTTTCTAATAGCGGTGGATACTTTAGTTTGAGCAATGTAAAGTATGGTGATGAAGCTTTCCGCGTTACCGGCATTGTAAACGCCCCCACCACGTTCTCCTACGCCTGCGGTAACCTCACTCTGGAGTCTGCTGCCACCGATGGTCGTTACAACTCGCTGAGCTTCAAGTCCCTGCAGCTGCAGGCTCCGTTCGACGGTTCCTATTCTGTGGATTTCCCCTTCGGCGATTCTTGGGACTGTGTTGGATTCGTATCGCCCGGAATCCTTATGGGTCTTCTGGTCGTCGCTCTGCTGCTGGTCATCATGTTCATTGGTGTCTGCTGGATGATGGACATCAACACGATGGACCGCTTTGACGATCCCAAGGGCAAGACCATCACGATCAACGCCGCCGCTGACTAAACAGCCGGTCATCATTAGTTCACGCCCAAGCTTTTTTGTTATATTTTCCCTTCAGAAAGTCATTCCTTTATTCTTCCGTCATGAAACGAACCAATACTTAATACCATATAACCATATAACACATAACCGGGAAATTAGTCCTTACAATTTCGATACAAAAATTTTCCCCGACAAAGATCAGATCCACGTTCAGCATCATTCCGTGCTGGCCTTTGTCGCCGAAAATTTCCAAGAGTTTTGCTTGCACCGACTTGGCATCCAGTATTTCATATAGTATATAGCCCCTAAATGTCGTAAATTGAGGAATTACACAAAAAAAAAAAGACGCACAGTGTCCAAAATAAGTGTGTGCAGAAGTCCATTGGTGTGTGTGGATGTGTGCCCCATGATTGCCCGTGGGCAGTAAATCTAAACTTGCATATATCTAAGTTTTTGTAGTTTGTTGTTTTGCGCAAATATGCGAAACTAATTTATGCCTCTGTATGATAGTTTGTCTTTTGTGCAACTCTCCTGTTCGCAGGCCCAACGAAAATAAAGTTTTTTTCAATTGTGTTACCAAATATGGAAAGTTTTACTAGCAAAAAGTCGGTTGTCAGATGGCCTTTAAATTAATGGAAAGGCTATGGAATGTACATACATTCTGCATATATGTATGTATGTATGTATTGGCCGGATATTCAAATAGTTGTTAGCAACTTTTTGTGCTCTCGTTTTGAAAACAATTTCAATTGCATTCTCTTGGCTTGTTTTGGCGGAAAAAGTCATGGAAACAAATCAAAAGTTTAATGGAAATTTATTGAGTTGCCATCGACGGGGTTTTCGAGACGAGCCTTATCCGGCATTTCGGTTTGTAAACTTAATCCTTAAACTTAGTTTAAAGTTCCTGATAAGAAAACCGACGGGCAGTTTTCATTAAGTTGCTTAGCAGCAGCAGCAGCATCGGCGGCAAAAAGCATTGTTTATGACATTTTAATCTCTTGTTTATCCGCTTGACTTTTCCACTTGCCTGAAAGTGGAAAGCTGCAGTCGTCTTCGTCTGGTCAAGGCGTGCGTAAAATAAACCCTCCGGCAGACAGCGCTAAAAACTGTGCTACGGCCGGATAGTGGGTTGGCTGTGTGGGTGCTGGGTTGCTGCTGCTGGAGTGAGTGCGCTCTCCGAGCCAAAAGGACACACAGTCGACTGCACTGCGAGTGGCTGGCAGGCGCTTAACGTTTTTGTTGCATTAGAAACAGGTCAGTGCGTCGTGCACCCAAATGAGCATATGACCCAGCTGGAGTGCAGTGCCGCCGGAGGATTCCGGGGTGCTGCACAGTTGGGGGGCTAAAAACTTGTGCCAAAAGGCGTCCGGGAATCGGAGATTCCAACGGAAGAGGAGGAGGTGGAAACAGTAATTATGCATAAGTCAACACGCGGCATTCGTAATGAACTCCACTCAAAAGCGGAACGAGCACTTTGCAGACCCGCAAAGTTTCCAAAGTTTTTGGCAGCCGAAAATGTCGCCAACTTGCCAGCTGCCGAAAGTTTCCGGCTAGCCAAGTCCTGCATCCGCCTATTTGTAAGTATGGTATATGAAAATTTCACACACTTGTGGTTATACTATTAGTTCTAATTAATGGTATTAATAGTGGCTCTTACATAACTAAAATTCAAGCTTTAATTGTTCGACTTGTATGCTGATATTAATCTTTAAAGATTTTTACTTTAACGCCACTATTTTTGTAACCCCAAGTATAAAGAATAAATGCAGGATCTTCCTGCTGGGATAGACCCATGGGGTCAAAGTGTCGCTGGCTCTGCCCCAGCCCCAGGCTGTAATAAACCCAGCGGTCTACAAATTGCTGCATTAGGCAGCCACAAATAGAAATGGGAATAAGGAAGAGTCGGGCAAGGAGTCGACCGTAAAAGCAATGGGTCCTTGCACACATGTCCTGCCTGGAGTAGTGGCACCAACTGCATCAAATGCAGTTTGAAAAGTTGGGGAGGCCAGTTGCCTGTCATTAAGCTGAGCCACAGTGCAAATCATTAGGCACAGGATTTGCAGGAGTAGCAGGGACGTGGTAACTGGGCAAGCTTAGCCAAGCCCAAATCCAAAGCCAAAAACAATAAAAATCTCTGGCGGGCGCTTTGGCCTGAACCAAGTTAATGATAGTAATTGTGCTGCCCGGGAGTTGTCGTCACCCATTTTAGAGTCCTCCCATCTGCTGGGTTGAGCTGCTTATCTCCGCTAAGTGGATGCGGATTCGCTTTGTAGGTTGGTTGTGCGAGGCATGTTTAACTAATAAGTACACCCCCATCCGAGGATGGGCCGGGGGCAGGAGCAGGGAGCCCTCAAAGGGGACGACGAGTAGAGAGCGCTAATGAACTCACTTGTGCGGCTGTTCGGTATAGGATTTCAGGTTCCTTTAGAGAGTGGCTTATGCATAAGCTTGGGTTTTAATTTAAAGAAAAAAAAATAGTTTAATTATGAACTGGTATGTACTATTACTCTACTTAATAATTGAGAAATACAATCAGAATCTGTCAGAACTGACGATAGTCATAAAGAACTTTAACAGTATTTTTTTGTGTCATATAAATAGGGCAATTTTCTTCGAACCACTCGAAAGCCACCCATTAACCTTTAAACCGACAAATCACTCTGGAAATCCAACCAGTTGACCTCAAATTAAGCCCAATCGAGTTTGCCGAGGACATTTTTGGGCCCGGCAGAGTAGAGAGTAGAGTCCTGCCGATCCATGCCTAGCCCCAGTGGTCAGTGGAGGGGCGGACAGACATTAATTAGTTGTCATTTTTAACAATTGAGCGTGACGAGGGAAATGAAACGGTTGGCAAACAGAACAGAAACGGAAATTCTTCTGCTCCCCCAGACCCAACCATGGGCGTTTGCAAATTAAGTGAAGGAGGGGGCCACAGTAAAGATAAGGTCTGAGTTTTTCGGTTTCGGTTTGAGTTTTTGTTCCAGTTCGAGTTCGAGTTAAACCAGAAGCCGTGACAATTGATAAATGATGCTGGCGCTGTGTGACGTGTGACAGATAAGTGCCGAAAAAGGTTTACAACTTTTCTCGAATGCCATTTATTATTGATGTCCGGATGCTGGAAAGGATGCCACTGGCCAAGACCAGCCTGGCCCCACACTGCCTGTCTCGTTGCCTATCCTGAGCAAATTAAAACTCGACAATTAGCCAAACACTCAGCTGTAATGACATGCAAAAGGATTAGAGCGCATAAGCCTCGGACGAGATGGCGAGCACTGACCGAACTTAAGAGCTCAAAGCTCAGGCTTAGTGGGTCCGAAGCATGTTACTGACCCACCCACCGCGAGAGCAGAGCCGGGAATTAATTAGTTCATCAGGGGGTTTGTGGGGGTGTGGTGATGCCCCACTTACCACTAACAGGTGTTTTTTTTTACCTTTATATGAGTAAATGCTTAAACGTCTGTTAATAGAATATATAATAATAAAAGACAAAAATTTACTATATGCGATTTCATTGTTGTATTATATCCAGACTCTTAGTTTTTTTTTTTAAAACAAACCATAATTAAGGTATTTGATAAAAGAAATTTAGAGAATCATCTTTACTTGGACTGTAAGGAACTGTTTTAAAAATGTATAAATGTATTGCCAAAATAAAAGGACCAAAAAAACTTGCGGAAAAATATGAATGTATTTCAAGAAATAATTCACATATCAATTAAATTAATAGTTGACACTCGGTTAAAATTGTTTGTATTGTCCTCTCCTTGGGTGCTGGATGGCTGGAAGGGCTTCTAATTGCTTATAAATCCAGTCATTGAACTTTTCTAAATTCGTGTAGACCCCGGGAGTGTCCTTCTTGCCGCACTCCATACCCCAGTTGACGATTCCAACCTGTATGTAGCGGTTCCTGTAGTAGTCCATCTCACAGAATATGGCGGAACCACCATCTCCCGTACAGGAATCGATCCCTTCTTCTCCTCCGGCGCACATTAGACTTGGATCCAATTCAAAATCAGGTCCCAACTCCGTTTTCCTCAGCTTATCCTGGCATTCATCCTGGTACACTAAGGGAAGCTCAATTGCCTTCAGAACATTTGATAAATATTTGTCACCGAAGTTTTTCACGCCCCAACCGGCTACTATGCATTTGTCCGCTGTGGGTTCAACCGGAGTGGGCAAACAGATGATCTGGATGTGATCCTCCTGCTTGAAGGGCTGGGCCAAAATGACAAGGGCCAAATCGTTTGCCCCAGTTTCATAATCAAAATCTTCATGTCTTATGATGCTCTTCACCAATCGCTGTTGAGGTGTAAACGATTCTCGGTCCGATGATAAATCCCAATCACCAGCTCGGATCTTTGTATCGGCAGCGGTCACATTCTCAAGAATATGTGCTGCGGTGAGAACGACATCCATAGCGATTAGAGATCCCCCTCCAATGAACTTCTCATTGGAATATAAAGCCACCATCCAGGGGAATTCTCCAGGTCTAGAGTCACTTGTATCTAGCGCTAGATCGCCTATACCTCTGGGGTTGCTGGTACCGCAATCATAGGCCTGCTTACTGCGCGGTTTCGTGGTGGGCCTGGGAGTCGTAGTGGTGCTGGGAGTTGTATTGGGCCTGGCAGTCGTAGTATCGCAGGAAGTAGGGCTGTGAGGCGTTTTGGGGCTGGGAGGCGTACAGGAGGGTATTGAAGGCTGTGAAAAAGACCAGGAAACAATTAAATATAATTTTTCCTACTGGATTCTGAATTAAATACTTACTTTTGTTAATTCGCAGCATACTTCATTGGTCTCACATTTTTTAATATCAACTGTGACAGGTTGTCCCCTTATAGAACAATAATCCTGAGGAACGCAGCTATTAGGAGCATAACAGTATTCAGCACCGCTCCATCCTAGAAAGGATGCGACGAGAAGAATTCCTAAAGACAAGTGCTTCTGCATGGTTTAATTGCGAAGAGAGCTATGTGAATGTCACTGCAATGCCTCCCATTAAATAGCCGCCGATGGCTTCTTTATCAAATGGGTTTTGCCCGAAGCTTATCGTCTGTTTCTTGGAAAAAATATTAAAATGCTGCATATATGTATACCACATTATTCTTTTTATGTATGAAGTTGTTCAATTAAGGACAATTTTCTTGTTTTTCAGGAATGATAAAAATAGTAAAAAACAAGAAAGGAAAGCTAACTTCGGGCGGAGCCGAAGTTTATATACCCTTGCAGTTAAAACCGGATATATATCGCAAACATCGGATATAGTTGGCCGATCCTTATGAAATTTGGTAGGTTGGATCAACTGATCAAAAATAGAATCTGTATTAAATTCCAGCTTTCTATCTTCAAAAACACGAAAGTTGGGTCATTTCCGATCGTTCAGTTATATGGCAGCTATAGGATATAGTCGGCCGATCCTTATGAAATTCGGCATGTCGTATTATTTTGCCAAAAATAGCTCTCATGTGAAATTTGAACTCTTTAACTTAAAAAACACCGAAGTTATACCATTTCCGATCAATCAGTTATATGGCAGCTATAGGATATAGTCGGCCGATCCGGGCCGTTCCGACTTATATACTGCGTGCAAAGGAAAGAAGGGTGTGTGCAAAGTTTCGAGACGATAGCTTTAAAACTGAGAGACGGACAGACGGACATGCTCATATCAACTCAGGAGGTGATCCTGATCAAGAATATATATACTTTATAGGGTCGGAGATGTCTCCTTCACTGCGTTGCACACTTTTGACCAAAATTATAATACCCTCTGCAAGGGTATAATAATAAGTGTGACATTATAAAATATTATTTTATTTTACACTAAATCTTGTTAAGCATAATGCAACTGATAAGCGGGTAAATAAAGCTGTGACCTAAGATTTCATTAAAACCAAACTTGAAATTATTTATTCGATTTTTGTAAATTTCCAAGTAAGTGGGAAAGTTTCAATTAAAACTGGGAATTTTAGAATGAAGACATTTCTTTGAAAAGGTTAAGAGATAATGGGGACATTATTTTAAATAGCGGATAATCCAGACGGCATATCAATGTTCAAAAAGTGCAATAAATATACGACGTTCAGGGTTTTTGGTGTTCTCTATCCAACTTTAGCTGATAAGCATTGTTACTATGTCCCAAAACAAAAGCCAAATAGGCGGGAGGTAAGCCAAATCACCAAGCCACTTATGAAAATAAATCGCACTGGCAGTGGAATGAAGATTTACTTCTAAGGATATGGGATACCTCCTGCCCATCATCAAGCAGATCAAGTCCATTTTTATGCAAATTTATTGAGTGATAAAGTTAAAATGCGTAGATTGGCGAATTGCACATCAGCTTTCCATTCTCCAGGGAGTGTGGGTGGGATGGATGTATGAAAATGGGAATCGAAAGGAACCAGAGCGAGCCCTATATTATATCTTGACTTGGGTCCGATTTTATCCGATTTTTGAGTAACCACAGGCACATGTGTTCGCAAATCATATTCGATATTTTTTTTGTTTGCTTCTGCTTTTTTCGAATCAACAGTTATGATTCATACCATTAAATGTTCTTTGTTTTTTTAATGCTAATAAATATATTTTTAAAAAGTTTAGTCCTTTTGCCACACAATAAAAAATTTTGTTCAAAAATATGAATATATTTCAAAAAATCCTTTTTAATAATAAATTAAATAGTATTTACTTTGCCATATATTTTGAATTTGTTGAGTAATTTGGCATTCTGGGGGTGTATGGATTTCAATTGCTGATCAATCCAGTCCTTGAACATTTCCACATTTGTGTAGACCGCCGGTACGTCCTTCTTTCCACACTCTACACCCCCGTTGATGATGCCCACCTGTACGTAGCGGCTCCTGTCGGTGGAGCGGTGGAGATTATAGCGGATCCACCATCACCTGCTCAGGAATCTACCCCCTCTTGCCCTCCGGCGCAAATAAGACTTGGAACCAATTCAAAGTCTGGGCCCAGCTTGGTTTGCCTTAGCTGATCCTGGCAGTGGACCTGGTCCGGACCTTTTTTTTTATTCAGTATTTTTAATTACTGACCCAGCAAATATTAAATAGCCTCTGTTGACTCATTTCATTTAAATGAAATTCCACATCATTTGGAAATTTATAAAGAATATAATTATTTCTTAGAACAGGTCAAATGGTTATCGTGGTTCGAAATGTATTAAATAAAAGATTAAGTCGCCTGCTGTTTTTCATACAATTTTTTGAACTTTAAAAGGCCACTTCTTTTTCCTAAAAAAATGTGAAATGGATGAAAATGGATACAAGTTATCATGTATATTATTAAAAAACACAAAAATGTATGGATGTTCATCAAAAAAGTAATAATTTTATTTATTTTTATGCAAAATATAAAAATAGGTGACAATTGATTAAAGCGTTCTGTATTGTCCCCTTTGAGGAATTGGGATTGACTTGATTTGCTGATCAATCCATTCATAGAACATTGACACATTTGTGTACACCGCCGGTACGTCCTTCTGGCCACACTTCATACCCCAGTTGACGATGCCAACCTGTACGTAACGACTCCGGCTGCCCTGCAGCTGACAGAATATAGCGGATCCACCATCTCCAATGCAGGCATCTATGCCCTCTTCACCACCAGCGCAAATTAAACTTGTATCCAATTTAAAGTCTTCGCCTAGCGTTGTTTGTCTTAGCTGATCCTGGCATTGGTCCCGGTCCACCAAAGCAAGATCTACCACCTTTTGAATATCTGAGAAGTATCTGTCACCAAAGTTTTGAACGCCCCAACCGACGACTTTGCATTTGGTCTTCAGGTAGGACCTTGTTTGACTGCTAGGAAGGCAGATTTTCCGGATGTGGTCCTTCAGCTGGAAGGGCTCGTTTAAAAAGACAAGGGCCAAATTGTTTACCCCAGTAGCGTAAGTGAAGTTCTCGTGCTTTTTAATAAGAGTCACCGATTGCTCTTCGGAGTCAAATGATTCATCTTCGGATGCTAAATTCCAATCACCAGATATGATCCTAACATCGGCAGCGGTCACATTGTTAAGAATATGGGCTGCGGTGAGGACGACTCCTGGGGCCACCAGGGAGCCCCCGCCAATCAACTGGTCCTTAACATATACAGCCACCGTCCAGGGAAATTCAGCGGGTTTGGAGTGGCCCTCAAGATGATCTGTACTATTTTCTAGGCCGTCGGGATTGCTATAACCGCAATTATTGGCAAACGTAGGGGTTTTAGCGGATTGTGAAGACTGCGAGGAATATTACATTAGTTTTACCATCTGGGTATTAAATTATAAACTTACATTCTCTTTTTCGCAGCATACTTCACCTACAGCGCATTCAAAGCCTTCGGTAAGTCGGTGGTTTGAGCCTTCTCCCCTTAATTTACAATTAAGGGCAGCAACGCAACTATAGGGCTTATAACAGACACTAGCACCGCTCCATCCGAGAAATAAGGTAACGAGAAGAAGCCCCAAAGACCACTGCCTCGACATGGTGAGCTTCGAAAGAGATTCTACAATGACTGCCACTGGAACGGCGGCGCTCTCATTATAAAGCCGCAGTTGGGACCTACTTTTTCTTATCTATAAGCGTCTCAAAAATGAATATGTATGGGTGGGTTTTTCTCATGATATAGTAGACTAGCCTCCTATTAAAGTCTTGATATTTTGTTCTTAAGTTGGACTATACATGGAGGTTTTTACGTGGAGCGAAGGTACCTCTTTTTCATTTTATTTAAAGCCAACATAATTAGAAAGTCCTAGGTATTTCGTGAGAAATATTTATATATATAATCTTTTAAAGATTTCAACCCGTCTGACCTTTCAAAACAAAACTCAACCCTCATCTGATAACACAGATTTACGTAATTTTAAATTATCAAGAAAGGAAAGCTTACTTCGGGCGGAGCCGAAGTTGATATACTTTTGCAGTTGAAACCGGATACATATCGCAAATATCGGATACAGTGAGCCGATCCCTATGAAAATATCATAATATAACCAATTTATATGGCAGCTATAAGATATAGTCGGCTGATCTTTATAAAAATTGGTAGGTGGGATTAACTGACCAAATGTTTACCAAATGGTGATGCCCCACTTACCACTAACAGGTGTTTTTTTTTAGCTTTGAGTAAATGCTTAAACATCTGTTAATAGAATATATAATAATAAAAGACAAAAATTTACTATATGCGATTGCATTGTTGTATTATATCCAGACTCTTAGTTTTTTTTTTAAAACAAACCATAATTAAGAGATTTGATAAAAGAAATTTAGAGAATCATCTTTATTTGGACTGTAAGGAACTGTTTTAAAAATGTATAAATGTATTGCCAAAATAAAAGGACCCAAAAAACTTGCGGAAAAATATGAATGTATTTCAAGAAATAATTCACATGTCAATTAAATTAATAGTTGACACTCGGTTAAAATTGTTTGTATTGTCCTCTCCTTGGGTACTGGATGGCTGGAAGGGCTTCTAATTGCTTATAAATCCAGTCATTGAACTTTTCTAAATTCGTGTAGACCCCGGGAATGTCCTTCTTGCCGCACTCCATACCCCAGTTGACGATTCCAACCTGTACGTAGCGGTTCCTGTAGTAGTCCATCTCACAGAATATGGCGGAACCACCATCTCCCGTGCAGGAATCCAACTCTTCTTCTCCTCCGGCGCACATTAGACTTGGATCCAATTCAAAATCAGGTCCCAACTCCGTTTTCCTCAGCTTATCCTGGCATTCATCCTGGTACACTAAGGGAAGCTCAATTGCCTTCATAACATTTGATAAACATTTGTCACCGAAGTTTTTCACGCCCCAACCGGCTACTATGCATTTGTTCGCTGTGTCTTCATCTGGAGTGGGCAAACAGATGGTCTGGATGTGATCCTCCTGCTTGAAGGGCTGGGCCAAAATGACAAGGGCCAAATCGTTTGCCCCAGTTTCATAATCAAAATCTTCGTGTCTTATGATGCTCTTCACCAATCGCTGTTGAGGTGTAAACGATTCTCGGTCCGATGATAAATCCCAATCACCAGCTCGGATCTTTGTATCGGCAGCGGTCACATTCTCAAGAATATGTGCTGCGGTGAGAACGACATCCATAGCGATTAGAGATCCCCCTCCAATGAACTTCTCATTGGAATATAAAGCCACCATCCAGGGGAATTCTCCAGGTCTAGAGTCACTTGAATCTAGCACTAGATTGCCTATGCCTCTGGGGTTGCTGGTACCGCAATCATAGGCCTGCTTACTGCGCGGTTTCGTGGAGGGCCTGGAAGTCGTAGTGGTGATGGGAGTTGTATTGGGCCTGGCAGTCGTAGTATCGCAGGAAGTAGGGCTGTGAGTCGTTTTGGGGCTGGGAGGCGTACAGGAGGGTATTGAAGGCTGTGAAAAAGACCAGGAAACAATTAAATATACTGGATTCTGAATTAAATACTTACTTTTGTTAATCCGCAGCATAATTCATTGGTCTCACATTTTTTAACATCAACTGTGACAGGTTGTCCCCTTATAGAACAATAATCCTGAGGAACGCAGTTATTAGAAGCATAACAGTATTCAGCACCGCTCCATCCTAGAAAGGATGCGACGAGAAGAATTCCTAAAGACAAGTGCTTCTGCATGGTTTAATTGCGAAGAGAGCTATGTGAATGTCACTGCAATGCCTCCCATTAAATAGCCGCCGATGGCTTCTTTATCAAATGGGTTTTGCCCGAAGCTTATCGTCTGTTTCTTGGAAAAAATATTAAAATGCTGCATATATGTATACCACATTAATCTTTTTATGTATGAAGTTGTTCAATTAAGGACAATTTTCTTGTTTTTCAGGAATGATAAAAATAGTAAAAAACAAGAAAGGAAAGCTAACTTCGGGCGGAGCCGAAGTTTATATACCCTTGCAGTTAAAACCGGATATATATCGCAAACATCGGATATAGTTGGCCGATCCTTATGAAATTTGGTAGGTTGGATCAACTGATCCAAAATAGAATCTGTATTAAATTCCAGCTTTCTATCTTCAAAAACACGAAAGTTGGGTCATTTCCGATCGTTCAGTTATATGGCAGCTATAGGATATAGTCGGCCGATCCTTATGAAATTCGGCATGTCGTATTATTTTGCCAAAAATAGCTCTCATGTGAAATTTGAACTCTTTAACTTAAAAAACACCGAAGTTATACCATTTCCGATCAATCAGTTATATGGCAGCTATAGGATATAGTCGGCCGATCCGGGCCGTTCCGACTTATATACTGCGTGCAAAGGAAAGAAGGGTGTGTGCAAAGTTTCGAGACGATAGCTTTAAAACTGAGAGACGGACAGACGGACATGCTCATATCAACTCAGGAGGTGATCCTGATCAAGAATATATGTATATACTTTATAGGGTCGGAGATGTCTCCTTCACTGCGTTGCACACTTTTGACCAAAATTATAATACCCTCTGCAAGGGTATAATAATAAGTGTGACATTATAAAATATTATTTTATTTTACACTAAATCTTGTTAAGCATAATGCAACTGATAAGCGGGTAAATAAAGCTGTGACCTAAGATTTCATTAAAACCAAACTTGAAATTATTTATTCGATTTTTGTAAATTTCCAAATAAGTGGGAAAGTTTCAATTAAAACTGGGAATTTTAGAATGAAGCCATTTCTTTGAAAAGGTTAAGAGATAATGGGGACATTATTTTAAATAGCGGATAATCCAGACGGCATATCAATGTTCAAAAAGTGCAATAAATATACGACGTTCAGGGTTTTTGGTGTTCTCTATCCAACTTTAGCTGATAAGCATTGTTACTATGTCCCAAAACAAAAGCCAAATAGGCGGGAGGGAAGACACATCACCAAGCCACTTATGAAAATAAATCGCACTGGCAGTGGAATCAAGATTCACTTCTAAGGATATGGGATACCTCCTGCCCATCATCAAGCAGATCAAGTCAATTTTTATGCAAATTTATTGAGTGATAAAGTTAAAATGCGTAGATTGGCGATTTGCACATCAGCTTTCCATTCTCCAGGGAGTGTGGGTGGCGATGGATGTATGAAAATGGGAATCGAAAGGAACCAGAGCGAGCCCTATATTATATCTTGACTTGGGTCCGATTTTATCCGATTTTTGAGTAACCACAGGCACATGTGTTCGCAAATCATATTCGATATTTTGTTTGTTTGCTTCTGCTTTTTTCGAATCAACAGTTATGATTCATACCATTAAATGTTCATTGTTTTTTTAATGCTAATAAATATATTGTTAAAAAGTTTAGTCCTTTTGCCAAACAATAAAAAACTTTATTCAAAATAATGAATATATTTCAAAAAATCCTTTTTAATAATAAATTAAATAGTATTTACTTTGCCATATATTTTTAATTTGTTGAGTAATTTGGCGTTCTGGGGGTGTGATGGATTTCAATTGCTGATCAATCCAGTCCTTGAACATTTCCACATTTGTGTAGACCGCCGGTACGTCCTTCTTTCCACACTCTACACCCCCGTTGATGATGCCCACCTGTACGTAGCGGCTCCTGTCGGTGGAGCGGTGGAGATTATAGCGGATCCACCATCACCTGCGCAGGAATCTACCCCCTCTTGCCCTCCGTCGCAAATAAGACTTGGAACCAATTCAAAGTCTGGGCCCAGCTTGGTTTGCCTTAGCTGATCCTGGCAGCGGACCTGGTCCACCAAAGGAAGCTCTATTGCCTTCACAACATGCGAGAGATATGGGTCCCCAAAGTTCTTAACGCCCCAGCCGGTGACTATGCATGTGTTCTTCAGGTAGGCTCTTTCTTCACGGGGCTGGGTTATCCATTAAATATAATAAATTAAAAACATTGAATGTAAAATACTAAAAAATCAATAAAAAGATAACTATCTTTGGTCGGAGCCGAAGACCTTAATGGTCGGTGTTGTCTTCTTCCCTAATACCCTTTGCAAGGGTATATAAAGATGAATAACTTGGATGTTTATTCGATTTATATAAAATTTCCTAGAAAACAATACGAAAAATTATTTATTTGATTTGTATAAAATTCCAAATAAATAAAAATTTCTAAGAAAACATTAATTACATTAATGTTTTAAGAAGCTGATAATTAAGCTTGAAACACTAAACATTAAGCTGATAATCCACGCGTCATATCAATATAAAAAAACTTATAAAAATATATGTTTATGTGTACACGTCTTTTTGTGTACTCTATCCAAACAAAGCCGATTACTATGACATGCTCAAAAATTGCCCAATGGGGGCGGGGAAGCCACTCATCACCAACCAAGTGTAAATAAATCGCACTGGTAGCGGAATAAAGATATACTTGTAGGGATATGGGATACACGCCGCACATCGGCAAGCAGATCAAGTGCATTTTTATGCAAATGTATTGTGTGCCAAAGTGAAAATGCGTAGAAAAGCGACATGAGTGCGATTTGCATACCAGCTTTCCATTTTCAAGGGACACGTGGGTGGTGATAGAGGTATGGAAATTGGAATCGAAAGGAGCCGGAGCCAAGCCGACATTATGTTTACATCTTGACTGGGGCCCGACTCTATTGATTGAGTGAACAACAGGCACATGTGTTTGCAAAACATATTCAATATTTTGTTTGTTCGCCCCGGTTCTGCCAGCTTCCACTTTGTATTAGGAGGGATCATTCCATATATACATACATACATTTTACTGGCCTGGTTACTGCAATAGGTATTGTACATTTGATTGCATTTGGCCCAGTGACTCGCTTCCGCATGACACATTGTTGGCCCCCAAAATTGGGACGAACTTTTGCACAACTTAATCATGGTCCAAGGGTTCAGGACAAGGGCCAAGGACCAACTCCCCCCAGCCATCTGTCTGCCGCCAGGAATTGTTCAACCGCATTTGTTCTACCACCTTTCCACGTAACCACAATGTTGCCCCAAAAGTTTTCACATTAAAACCGTTTCATGCCGGCAAATTGTGAAATGAGTTAGCTGCAAGCTTTCCCCAAAAAAGTAAAAGTTCAAATATGCGAGGGAGGCCAAAACTTTTGTGTAATATCTTTGCCAGTCATTAAATAAATAATTTAATTTCACAACTTCTAGCTAATCAATTTACAATATTTTTTTACTTTTGAACCATGCGCAGCACGAGTTCAGCAAACAATTCTGTTATTTAAACTGCAATCAATATGTCAACAGGTCTTTGTTATCAATTAAGCGTAACTCGTAGTTGGGCCCTTTGCATGTGAATTGAATTGTAACAACAGTGATTGGCAAATATGACTTGCATTTAATGTGTTTACGTTGTGATTTAATTAAAAGATCTAACCAACTGGATAGAATTATTCAGACCATGGCAAAGGCATTACTTTTGTTAAGGTTTTGAGGTATTCAAGTAACTTCTAGTATTTAAGAAAAGCTCTAATGCTCGACCGGATACGTTTTTCCGCCTGAAGATGGCTTACATGTCTGTTCCATGGCCGAATGCACTATTTTGTTGCATTGCAACTTTATAAGCCACCAGAATCCTCATCCTTGGCTTTTTTGCTGGAGGTTTTGTTGGATGTGTCGCTGCTACAATGGTGCTCCTTGCCAAGTGCTCCACTTGCATTATCCTCTTGCCATCACCCACCCAGAGTCTTTATATTCTTTACCTTTTTTTGTTACTGGATCTTGTGTTAAAATGGCCAGGCAATGTTTTTGCTGGCGCTACCTTTTGCTGCCCCTTGTTTGTGAAGCTCAATTTCAGTTAGGAGATAAAATTTTTATGACATCACTTTTCTGTTTCATTATTTATTTTGCCATCGTTGCCCGGGCATCCGCTGCAGATGATGAGCAACGACACATCGCCTCGGGAGTTTATAAACTTTATGTTTATTGAAGCCATAAATTGGCGGTGCATACGCGCACAACATGGCGTATACGCAACGTTATGAATTGGCATTTCCCGCTCAAATTATGTGATTAATAAATAGACTAATGGAGCGTTACCTTTCACCATTAGAACTTAATAAAACGATGTTTTATTAAATTACCTATTAAAGCTTAGATTGTAAACGTTGGCATTGCATGAAGCCTAATTGCTTAACGATTCAATTTGCGGCACAAACATCCAAACAAATTTTTGTCCGAATGCACATGGCCTGGCGGAATAAACAAATTAAATCTGTAAATCTGAAAACTGCCACAAAGGGATCCCATTAAAATACAGTAAAAACCCATTAAATTCAAATAAAATCCAATTCAACAGCTTTTTTTGTGTGTGTTTAATGCCATAAATCAGAAAATTGCACAGACACACCCCCATGCACGCACACACATACACAGTAGAAAGACTATTCCATTTCCATACACGAACACACATTCACATCCTCGTTCAAAAAAGGACAAATCCTGGCTAAGCCTCTACTAGCAAAAGCCAAACAATGCGAATTGTGCGTCCGGTTTTGGCCCAGACTTTGGGGCCTAAAAGC